CTGCCTGTGCAGCGGTCCTCCACCGTCGCCGAGCCGTGCCTGAAATTATTCTCGAACAACCCACTCAACCAAATTAAACTACACCGGTAAGTGGAACCTGTTATCTACTATGTACCTGCATCTACCAAGCACCTAGTACCTTAAACCACCTTGGTGGATAAACTCCTTAGGTAACGGATATTCATTTTGCGGTGAACAACTCGCCGGCAGTTCTTCACAGTTCAGACCCGAATACGACCTAGCGCGAGGAAAAGTACCCTAGCAACCAAATATATCTGGATACTTATCGTAGTTCGTAATTTTTTCCAGATACGTAAGTGAATCAAATGAGAGGAAATGTAGGGCATAGAGTGGTTGTGGTTGTGGTTGTGGTTGTGGTTGTGGTTGTGAAAAACCGTTTACTGTCAATTATCTAATGGAATGCGCATGAGTCACGTACCGGTACGATTATCTAGTACTCATCCGCCCAACCCGAACCCATGGATTCGGAGATCAGAGATTGAATGGGATTGGAATAGGTAGAAGAGGGGATTTTTGAGGAGGGGGTAGGTAGGGGTCTTCGTGTTAGTGGGTTTGGATTGTGGGTTTTGTGGCCTGGGATGGACCATGTTTTTGGGATGGGTGGTTTGTTCCGTGGGTTTGGGGGGTGTATCATATGGATGTGGTTCATCGCTCTTAGCTGTACAGTTTGTTGGTGGGTGGGTTAAAATTGTGCTGGGTTTATGTACAGTCATTGGTTTGTGGCATAAGATGGCTGTTTGCTTTTGGATTGGGTTGAAGATGTAGTAGGTGAATTAGATAAATTAGGGAATTGTCATAGACTCAGGCCTAGAATGATTCATGTTATAACTTATGGGATGGGTGTGTACCTTGCTTATTATCAACTTACCGTGCTTTATGTACTCCTATGTAGGTGGTTAAAGTACAGAAGGCACGGAGGTTTAATAGATATATTTCCCTTGCCGCACTGCACAGATATGCATGTGCTACTTGCTAGTTGCTGTGTGATAATTGAATCTCTTTCTCGTAATTAAGGTTTGTTGCATGATCGTGTTCTCTTCGTTTAATGTGAATCAAGCATTCCGTCCCATATGATGGTATGCCAGGGATCCGGGAGAATTGTCCACTGGTGCTGGAAGTTAATGCTAGGCTGCATGTGATGCATTCTTCTCTTAGGGTCACACGTGTCGTGTCACAACATGAGAATGGAAGAACTGGGCCAGGTGGTTCTACATAATCAGTTGTGGGATTTTGCCCAGCAGTACCTAGATATCAAAAATAATCGACATAGGCAGCTATAGCTAACTGCTAAGCCACATCCATGATGATAAGGTTCCGTTGACCGGAATCCGGATGATGGAAAAACGGTTGCCTGAGGTTAGTTACTTTGGCCCTTTGGGGGGCAGTGCCAGATGCGGCTCCAAGGGTTTGTGCGCACGTTGCCATTTAGACACCGACATTTCATTCCTCGATGACTTGGAGCCTGGATGCACGCGCCTGCAGTCGAATGGGGTTCGTTGCTAATTATACTCTCGCTTGTGGGTTAGGCTGGCAGGCTTTGCCCTGGATGGCCAAGAAGGATCGCAGTGGAGCTAGCTGCAGTGGAATCTTCGATTATCGTATTGGAAAGTTGGTGTGTTGTCCACCGTTATCTGTCTGTTTGGGGTGGTGGAATGTAGGTACTATGACTCTGTCAGTATCCTATCTGGATTCTGAAATATACGATCGTCGAATAAAGCAGATGAAACTTGACGGGATGGTTCTGCCGCGCTGGAGATTGGGTGATTGCGCGGGGTGGAGAAGCGGCGTCAAGGGAAATTAGCACTAATGAATACTAGAGATTCCCCTCGCGATTCATTGCTTGTCTAGAGTCGGGAATGCGTATGGGGTAGATTGGGCGCGTAGAGGTTCTGGCGGGTGGGGAGACCGTTGAAGCTCTATCTGGTACCAGGTCATATAGCCATCTATCTAGTATCTACATGTGGTCTGCCTCGTGCTGGTTGCTGGGTGGGACACAGCAGGGCCGATGGTCGGTCGGTTTTGGGGGCTGGTCCAAACCAAGTGGATAGGTAGATAGGTAGGTAGCTCAAGACACGGTGTAGATAGCTCTCGAGTTAATTCCTTTGTTGTCTCCGTGTGGATGCCGTCTTGGAAGGTTCTTCTGGACGGTCTGGTTGCAAAGGATGGCTTTTACAATCAGACTTGGCATAAAAAGCAAAGAGCTGGAAGTAAGGAAAAATCCCTGTCAGGGCCACTCTTCTTATGATTCCACAGGCGAGGAGGGAACTACTAGATATACGGAGTACCGGGCGGTGATGATGATAGATAATTGATATAGCATCATTTCAGCCAATTGCGACGATCGTCCACTGCATAATATCTGCCTTGATCCACCGTAGCATGACTCCAGGGCTTCAGCCCATTCCCTCGATTCCACTTTCAGGCCCGACCGAGCTGTTTCAGCGACCGCCGACGGTGGATGTTTTGATTATCATCATCGAGGAAAAGGGGACTCGAGGATCGCCGGCCGGCCTGTGCAGCTAGTTGGAAGCCCCCTACTAATAATATCGAGAAAACCCATCGTCGGGAGGTTTCACCCCTGATTGTTGACGAGAGGATCTACTGAGTGCAAGAGAAAACAGCTTCACATCCTCTATCCTCTCCTCTTCATTGTCCCTCACATCTAATTCCCATTCCCTAACCTCCAGTCGTTCCTTACCCAGTGATTGATTACTACCTAGTAGTATTTGCCATCTGCGGGCCAGAGCCAGTCCGTCCACTGCCTTTCGCAGCCGCCAGTGGCTCAGCCGCCTTGTCTCACCCGTCACTCTTTCGTCCTTCCCATCCTTTCTTACCTCACTCACTCACTTCCTCTGCTTTTTTTCCTGCCTGCTACTCTCGCAACTTTCTCCTCAATTTCCCCCCCACCTTATTTCTCTTCCCTTCTTGGACTTAATTCTCCTCAACCTTTGGTCCACCTTTCGTCGCTTTTGGGGTAGTCGCAATTTGTCGCCGTTTCGCGCGTACTCATCGTTCTCGTTTCCCGTACGACCCCGAGCTACCACCCACCCACCACCACCTTTCGGAATACACTCTGCGACCTGTCACCACGGTCACCACACTGCATCGCGACTGACCTGTCTCAAGCGACGACCATACGAGCAATTTGACTTCAAGTATTGAAGGATCGCAATAAATATCACCATGAGTGTAGGTTGACCTAGCAAGCCTTCGTTCTGATTTCCTCTGCTACCCCTCCCCTTAGTACCAACAAATCGCGCATTCCCAAGGGTCTGCTAACCCGTCGAATAAGTACGGTGGCAACCAAGGCGGCTACGGCCAATACAACCCCTATGGACAAGAAGACGCCAATCCCTATAGCGACTCCAATGCTATGGAGCAGGGAAATGGCACCTATGGTAAGCGCACCACGTTCCATGACCTTGACCCGACCAGGGCCTAACATTCGTTCGCACATCCAGAGATGGGCTCTTATGACACGCCCGTTGACACGACAACGATGTTGAACAAGTGCAGAGAGATCAACGATGGTATTGCGGATCTCCGCGCCAAGCGGGAGGGCCAGCTTGCGGCCGCTCAGAACGCTTTGCTGGACTCGAGCACCGGAAAGGAAGACCAGGTCTCTCGCCAGACTTTGGATTACATTGAGGATGAGATTAACAACGGCTTCCGCTACCTCCGTGACCTTCTGAAGAAGGTCAAGCAGACCCCCGGCTCCGGCGACAACCGTGTACAGACCCAGATCGACGTCACTAGCCGGAACCTTCGCCGAGAGATCGAACAGTACCAGAGGTGCCAGTCCGATTTCCAGAAGCGCCTGAGGGAACAAGTTCGCAGACGTTATGAGATCGCCAACCCGGAAGCTTCCCCCGAGGAAATCGAGCAGGGTGTTGACAATGTCCTGATGGGTCAGGAACAGAGCTTCCAGGTACGCCTCTTCAGAGAAGTATCGGAAAGTCGATGCTAACATGTCCGTTTTAGGTCACTGGTAGTCGGACTAGACAGGCCAACGACGCGAGACAAGCCGCTTTGGAGCGATCGGCCGCAATTCGCAAGATTGAGCAGGACATGATGGAGCTTGGCCGACTGTACCAGGAGGTTGCAGAGCTTGTTCATCAGCAGGAGCCTGCTGTGGAGCAGATCAGCCAGGACGCAGACAATGTCGCACAGAACGTTTCGCATGCGAATAACCAGATCACGGAAGCTATCGCCAGCGCTCGTCGGGCAAGGAAGTGGAAGTGGTATGCTCTGCTTGTCGTCAGTAAGTGGTCCCGATGCTATTCTCCGATATATAGGCCAAGCTGACACGGATCCCTAGTTATCATCATTGCCATCATCGTTGGTGTTGCCGTCGGTGTTACCGAAGCGAACAAGCACTCATAAGCCGGTGAATCTTCTGGCAACCTGCTATAATTGGCTTGATCTGATGATTCGACCTCGCTCTGATAAACGCTTCGCCATGCCAATGTCCTTCATATCCTAAGATACCCTCTGAGGTATCGAACCTTGGTCTGTTTCTGTTCGCTCTCCGTTCAAGTTTACGCAAGGCTGTAACGAACCTCATATCGTCTGTGTACCTTGTTCTCGTCCAGTGCTCTACTTCTGTTGACTACGCTTACGGTAAGCCAATTTGAGGGTCGTTCGCCTGTTGTGATTCTTCTGTTGTTATACCACTTTGTCGTTTGTTTCTCTTGGTTTGAAAAGCACGTCACCTGCCGATCGTCTCTTTTGTTTGTGCTTGCTCGTCTCTGTCTTTCTGTATCCACTGATCGGTCGTGTATAGTTTCTGCGTCTTGGGGCGTATGCGACCTGATGAACCCTGTCGCAGCTCGTTGGCTAGGATGCGCATGATGCTATCGCAGTGTATATATTAGAGTCTCTTCGTTGCCCCTACTTTGGCGCTAGAACCATGTAATAATCGACTACCTTAATAATAATGTGTCCTGTTATGTGTATTTGGTGCATGGACGAGCACTGTGGTTCGCACAGCACCTGTTCGATTTTGTATATGCATTCGTGGGTATCGCAGACCAAGTGAACAATATCAACCCTTCGCCGTCTATCAAGCCTGGGCCTGTCTTTCCTTCTCCCGCTCCTCCTCCTCCGGTGTCTTTGTCCGCAGTTGCAGCGCATGGATGCCTCCCTCTTGACTCATTTCCTCCTTCAACAAAGCATAGACCATACGATGGCGCGCAGGCTGGGGTTTCGACTGGAAAGAGGGGGAAGTAATCGTGACGCTAGAAGCCATACGTATTGATTAGACCAGGTTTTACCAGATGGGAATAGGAGCGAATGGACGGACTGAAAATGTGTTTCTTTGGAAGTCGCCCCGCGCATCGCGGCATGATGCGCGTGGAGATGAGAATCGTTCCGGATGATAAGGGTGGAGGGGGAGAAAGCGGTTGTCATCTAGCAAATCATAAATTAGCATCGCTATCGCCCATCGGGGGTATGCATTGCGGACCTTCTCCCGGATGAGATCTTCGATGGGGGTAGTGGAGGTGGAGGCCATTCTGGAAGTAGTGAGGGAGAATAGACGGCGGGGTAGGAAGCCTGGAAGGCTGCTGCGGGGGAGCATTGAGGGGCGTGGTTTCTGGAGAGCCGTTCTTGGCTTTTTGAATTGCAAGAAAGTGGTTTGTACGGCGTGCGCAAAGGGTGAGTTTGGTCTGGGGATGGCTTGATGGATGAGAATCGAGGGACCGCAATTGGTCGGAGACGGCGGGTTACTGTTTCGGGAATGGTGCGGAGCAAGCGGAGTGACGGTTTGTTTGTCCGGCATGCAATCCGATGGCTGCTGCTGCTCCTCTTCCACTCGCCCTGGCTGTCAGACAGAAGCTTCCACGATCTTTCTCCCGGACAGACGGCCGACACTTGCATCTGACTGGTTCGATGCAGTTTCTTAACCTTACCATGCCTACTTCAGCTGCGTCAACGACCGATATCCGGAGCGAAGCACCGCCAAGTTGCCGAGCCGAGACCGTAAAGCTCCGATGCGCTTCTTCCCCGTCGCGCGCTGCTTGCAATCCGCCTTTATCTTTTGCCTTGGGTATCCATGCCTGCTCTTTGAGGCTTTACAACCCTTACATATAGTGACGAAGGGGTCATGTTATACAAGCCTCAGTCATCTCATCAATCATGCCAGGACGCACCTTGATGCCGCTCCTCTCGCGGAGCTCAGCAGCCTCGTCTCGACCTCCGCTCCAGACCCTTATAGCTTGGAGGGCTTGTAATCATCGATTCCGGTCATTAGTAGCTCCTGTTATTCGTCGATCGCTTTCATCCCTACCGAATCTACCTCTTTTCCGCGCTCTTCAAAATCACGACCAGTCCAATCTCGCGGTTGTTCACAGCGCGTCTGCTCGTTCCTTTACATATGGCAATTTGGTTGCGGATGTACTGCAGGCGAAAGAAAGGCTGATCGGATCTGCTGGGGGTAAACAAGATGGCTTGTCTGGCGAGAGAGTCGCGTTTTTGGCTGAAAATAGCTACGACTACGTAGGTACTGTGTTTCCTGCCTCTTTTACATTCTGTTGGAATGTCGCTCGCTGACTGGTGTACTAGTGACGCTTCTTTCTATTCTTGCTAGCGATGCAATTGCCCTACCTCTTTCCCCGGCCTTTCCAATTGGCGAATTGAAGTATATTATGGATAATTCTCAGGCAAAGGTGCTAGTTGCTACGGAGAAGTACGCGGGGAAAGCGCAAGATCTTCTCAAGGCGGGTCTGGATCGGGTGCCGGTTCTGGATGTGAAGGACAAGATTAAAGTGGGCGCGCATAACTCGGGTTCCGTGTCATTGGAGGATCTCAATGCGAAATCTCGTGGTGGGATGATGCTCTATACTTCTGGCACCACTAACAGACCGGTAGGATTACCTGCTTTTGCGATAACTAGGAGGCTGGGCTAACAGAAACTAGAAAGGTGTACTGATCCCTCAGTCAGCGCTGACAGCACAAGCCGCGTCTCTCCTTGAGGCGTGGAACTACACCCCTGATGATCGATTACTTCATTTGCTTCCCCTGCATCATATCCACGGCACCGTGAATGCGATTGTCACCCCCATACTTGCAGGATCTTCCATTGAGTTCATGTTTCCCTTCAACACCGATGCCGTGTGGAAGAGGCTGGCAGCTCCATTCCTACCGGCTACTCCAACGACAAGCAAGATAACCTTTTTGACTGCCGTGCCCACTATCTACAACCGACTGCTCTCTTCGTTCCCTGGCTTGAGCCCTGATATCCAGGAGGCGGCAAGGAAAGGCATCTCACCCGAGAACATGCGCCTCAACATCTCCGGCTCCGCAGCCCTACCTACGCCCACCAAGAAAGCCTGGCAGGATCTCAGCAACGGGAATGTGCTTCTTGAACGCTACGGAATGACCGAGGTTGGAATGGCTATCAGTTGTGGACTCGACTTTGCAGATCGTGTTGATGGTAGCGTTGGCTGGCCACTACCATTCGTGGAGGCCAGACTGGTGGACACGGATACCAACGAGGTCATCAATGCAGGAGAAGAGCGCGATAACAATGGCCGAGAGCGTGAAGGCGAAATCCAGCTTCGCGGCCCGACCATCTTCCAGGAATACTGGGCAAATGAAAAGGCCACCAAGGAGTCCATTGTCTCTGGCGAGGATGGCAAAGGCGAATGGTTTAGAACCGGAGACGTCGCAACGCGTCGTATTGTCGACAATGCCGGTAAGGGAACCAGCGGCGAGTGGGCCAAAGGACCCATGTACTTTATCCAAGGCCGTCGGAGTGTCGACATCATTAAGTCCGGCGGCGAGAAAGTCAGCGCGCTGGAAGTAGAGCGGGAACTGCTATCCCTGTGAGTCTTCGTCGTCCAACCTCAACTAACAGCAATTAACCAAATTTTATCAGTCCCCAAATCGCCGAAGCCGCCGCCGTCGGTCTTCCCTCGGACCAGTGGGGTCAGAAAGTCGCCGCTATTGTCGTTCTGAGACCCGAAGTTGCAAAGAAGACCGGGCGCAACGGCAAGACATGGGGCGCTTTGGACATGCGCCGCGCTCTCAAGGACCGCCTGGCTAGTTATAAGATGCCTCAGGAAATGAAGGTTCTCGATGGGCCTATACCAAGAAATGCTATGGGGAAGGGTGAGTGCCTACTTTCCTGGACCTGGTCATTGCTAACACACTTTTTGTATAGTTAATAAGAAGATGCTTGTGAAGGAGGTTTTTGGCATATAGTACAGATTTTGTGATGTGCTATGTGTGATACTGCAATCCATACATAGATCTTGGATATATGGTGTATTGTATGCTGAATATAGATGAGATGTGCATTTGATGAGTCCCTATACATATAAGTAGATATAAGTAGGAATTAAATACACGAGCACCCCGTTCCTTTCGCGTGTCTGGCTAGAGATAAGTTGGTGATAGGAACGGGCCTAGCAGGCCCCCAACCACCAAGTAAGGCAAGTCCCCTCCGAGACTAAACCCCCTCCCCATTCCCCCCTCCTCCAGCAATTTCCACGTAGTTGGCCACCGCTACTTACTTCTGTAGCACATATATCCCAGGATACAGATAACCACCCTACTACCCGACCACTCAGAGCATCTGCCTCCAGATCCAGATCCAGTAGCGGAATATCCCGCCCATCGCTCCACAAGCGAAGTGATTCCTGCACGTCTTCCTGCATCACATCCAAGCCTCACTAATTTCCCCTTCCTTCCCTGCTTGATACATTTGTTGCCTGCTTCGCTTCACTTTATCCCCCCCCCTGCATATGAAATATTACAATAAGTTTACTTGCGATAAGAATTGGGAGATGCTGGGGTTGTATTACTTTAAGTAATAGTAACAGTACTTCTAATGTGATCAAGGTAGGTAGGTAGTATGTACGTATTCGAGGAGAGTTAGAGTAGATAGCTAACGCGATAAATAAACAAACAATCTAAAACATATGGCGTATCAACAATCCCTGGTCGGTGGCTTATGTCAATATTACTTTTCTTGCTTCTTGTTGGGCGGGTGGTTGTGGTTTGGAAGCAAACATGCCAGTACATACATGTCTTGGGGGCACGGACCCCTTTACTGTCCATGGGGCACGGACATGCTCGCAGTGGGTGGGGTTCGGAGAATATGGGATGAGGGGGGGGCTTTGATCTAGAGGTGGTTATATAAGTGATAGAGTGTTTTGGAATCGCGGTACTGTTACTGTGTTTTATGTCCTAAGTGGTTGTGATAGTTTATAATAATAGTGTTACCGTGGAGTAGATTGAATGTGATGGAGATGTGATAGCCTACTGGTCGATACTATGCGGGTGATATCGGCCATCAGGCGAATAGCAGGAGTACGGTTACCCGTACGGACCACTAGCGTTCGTATGGAGGAAGGTGCAGTGGTCATTTGTCTATATTAGTACTGTCATGTTGGACGAAGGGGTGGCATAATTTTTTTTTTTTTTTTTTTTAAGAATCGGCACCTAATAAAGCAGCGCTGCTACATGACTGAGCTAGTGGTACAGCTGCTAGGCAGAGGGAGTGCTGAAGCACATCGCTTGTTTGACTGCCACTGCTTGACTAACCACCATTTCTGACTATCGGTGAATATCCACCTCAAAAAGGATGAAGCCAGCATAGAAAGCACGATCAAGTTTATGAGAGCCGCACTGATGCTGTCAAGCTGCAAGATGTCTGTTCATCCAGCCACACTGATCTCAGCAGGTCAAAACAGGAACGTCTTCCTGGCCGGCGGGGTTGGAAATTGGGATCGTCAACGACACATTTGCTTTTCCCAGTGACACTGTCCCGGTTAGAGCGGCTCTCTGGCGTCACTCAAGATATGTGAGCCATTTCCCAGAGGTCTCATGGCCGATGACGGCTCCGCTGGCATCTGGGGGGCCTTATCCAGCCGCAATAGGAACAGAACCCATACGAGAGGTACCTTGCGGAAGCTTACCTATCGCAACATGAGTCGAGTCCGGTCTGGCCAGAGGCACCCATGGCATTAGACGGATATTTGTGCCGTTTTCAACGTGTGCTGGGTGTTAGCGCTTGTCATCTGAGGGGGTTCATAGCTGGATGCATGTCATATATGCAGGGATTGTTACTATATCTGAGAGAATAATGGGTATATTATGTCTTGCCATGCCCACATGAGATCGGAGTTGATGGGTAGTAAATTCTGCATCAGAGGGCAAGGGAAACTAACGGTTACTCAAAATGTACACCCTTATTCTTCTCTCAGTTGTCTATCTCTTCGCGAGAACCATCTACCGGATCTACTTTCATCCTCTTAGTAAGATCCCAGGACCCAAGCTAGCAGCAGCCACTCACCTTCACGAGTTCTATCATAATGTCATTCGTGGTGGGAAGTTCATCTGGGAAATTGAGAACATGCATAGACTATATGGTAGGGTGTCCCAGACCACCAATGGTTCACCAAACTGAGAATGCCTATAGGGCCGATTGTGCGAATAAATCCACGGGAAGTTCACATTTCTGACCCATCAATGTACGATGAGATCTATGCGGGAGGTGGACGAAAGCGCGAGAAGGACACGGGCTTGGTGTCATCTTATGCATCATCGTATGCGGCGCTGGCAACTATCGACCATGACCTTCACCGTGCTCGTCGAGCCCCATTGAATCCATTCTTTTCAAAGAAGTCTGTATCTGAGCTCTCAGACGTCCTTCATGAGAAGATTTCCCTTCTGTCACGGCACCTTGAGCGGGCACATGCAGAACGAACTAGGATCACATTAAGCACTGCCTTGATTGCCCTGACGGGCGACATCATCACCCACTATCTTTATGGTCAGGATAATGGATACCTAAAAGACAGAGACTTGGCGAAAAGAAACATGGTTTGGGAGATCATGGCCGAAGGCACTAGCGCATGCCATCTGTTTAGATTCTTTCCATGTATTCCCACGTTAACGAAGGCTTTGCCTGGACGTCTCATGCGCCTCATTCGTCCGGCGCTGTCAAATGTTTATGATATGCAGGAACAGATTGCTCACCAATCAGAGGAAGCCATATCAAGCCATGGCTCTCTCAAACTGAGGACGATCTACCATGCTTTGAATGACCCCTCCGTCCCTGCTTCCGAGCGGTCCCTGGCTCGTCTGCGCGACGAGAGCTTTATCGTCCTGATTGGGGGGACTGAAAGCACAGCGGCAACATTGACGTTTGCGATATACCACCTTCTCCAAAGCAAGAATATGTATCTCAAACTCCGGCAAGAGTTACAACAACTCATGCCAACAGCAACCAGTGAAGCGAACTGGTCACAGCTGGAGCAGCTCCCGTACTTGGTATGTGACAAATCCGTATGATCGAAAAGTAGCCGCAGGCACTAATTTCAGAGATATTGAACAGACAGCTGTAGTCAACGAAGCTCTTCGACTGGGGTCAGCGGCATTGAGACCAGCACGAGTCGCACCCACGGAGACACTGTATTATCAGGGGCACAGCATCCCACCTGGCGTGAGCACCGCCTGTCTCGAAATAATGTATCTTAGCTGACACTTTGATATGTAAGACTCCGGTCAGCACAATCAGTTATTTCATCCACAGAAACCCAGCCATCTTCCCTAATCCAGAAAGTTTCAACCCCGAGCGATGGATTCAAGCTGCTGAGCGAGGAGACAACCTTACCAGATATCTTGTTCCTTTCACACGGGGCAGTAGAATCTGTATTGGCATGAAGTGAGTGAGTGTTATTTCACTTTTGTTCTCCCGTACCTCCTCGCCCTTCAGTTCGTTCCCAACAAGTAAATTGAGCTGACTGTATACCCAGCCTGGCATATGCAGAGTTGTATATGACTCTCGCGTCCATTGTGCGACGCTTTGACCTAGAAATCTGCGGGACATGCCCTGAAGATATGGAGTTTGCACGTGAGATGGTCGTACAGCGTCCGGAAAAGGGGGTGTGGACGCTCGACGTTCGAGTAGCTGGCGTCACTCAATGAAGAGGATCACTGCAGGGTCAGCAATCTCACGAGTTGGCCCATTTAGACATGGGTAGTATCTTCTGCGATCATGATACAAGATGTCTAGAAAAGATAGAAGCTTTATTTTTGGGTGACAAAGGAAGATAGTAAGTAAGAACAGCGTAGAAAGAAAGGAAGTATACTGCCCGCCGGTTGCCCCTCTACCCCTCACCGGCAGGGCGGTCAGACTGATCTGATCGTCTTGCACTCCCCCGAGCAACTTTCTCCTAATCCTACAGCTTGAGGAGATCTTTCTCGAAAAGTGCAGCTGCATCAAGATATAGCTTCCAGCCATTGCATTGACGGAGGTGCTTTCTCCCCCGCCTCGGTGGATATTCATACAGGCGCAGCAAGCAATCCTTCACGATGTACCAATGTCACTGATATTAGAGCGTATAGCTTCGTGCCTGGCTATCCAACAACTTGGTCTATCGAGAAGGCTACGGGTTCTCTGTATTTCCTTTTGCAGGTATAGTGAGGTCCGAGGCTGATATCGAAGACCAGCTTGATCATGTGCATTTAGCATTCTTGAAGCAGCTACACAGTATATACTCCTCCATGTAGGTGAACACGCTGAGAAGCTATTGCTTTACGGACTCGACAGTGGTTGACAGTTCTGCACCGAGTACTACTATCAAATCCTTGATTGATCTTGCCATAGTCTCCACCAACAAGATCCACGAACCTCTAGGCACCTACGAATCCTTTCATCACCCATTGCACTCATAGCGTACGAGTATATCCTGGCTCGACAGTGTTGCAAAATTGCTTATGTATTCCAGTCTTCCCAAACACCATGAGTTCACTATCGAGATGGCCAATTATTGTGATCTTGATTACAGTTCTCATGGCTACCCTGGTAGCTGCAGATATATGCTCGAAGCTGAAAGCAGACGGGATCCAAGTCGAAGAACCTCTCACTTTAGACTATAACGTTGACCTTTGGAGATATTGGTCCACTGCTTGTGGTGATCTCCGTCCGACATGTATCGCCGCTCCATCAAACGCACTAGAAATGTCACAGGTCGTGAAGGAGCTCCACCACTTCGAAACTCTCTTTGCCGTGAAATCAGGAGGGCACATGCCCAACAATGGCTTTGCTAGCATTCAAGACGGTCTTCTCATAGCAACCAAGAACCTTGACCAAGTATTATATAACTCTGATGATCAAACCGCAACCATCGGGCCGGGACTCTCGTGGGGGAATGCCCAGAAGGAACTACATGGAATCGGTCGAACTTTGGTGGGTGCTCGTATGGCCGGTGTAGGCGTGGGAGGATACATGCTCGGAGGTACTGCCATTGGCAACTAACAGTTCTTACTCTAACTTGTGTAGGTGGGATGAGCTTCCTGAGCTCACAATACGGATGGGCGGCGAACAATGTCATCAACTTCGAGGTTGTTTTGGCAAATGGGACTGTTGTGAATGCAAACAAGAAGGCAAACACCGGTCTGTTTTGGGCAATTGACATCGTAGGATTTGACTAATAGGAGCAGATCTCTTTACGTCTCTGAAGGGAGGTGGAAATAACTTTGGCATTGTCACTGCGTACACTCTCCAAACACACCCGCAGGATCACAAGGTCCATCTTATGATTCCCTAGTCTTGAATCCTGCTGATCCTGTCAGGTCTGGGGAGGCAACTACGTCTTTGCTTCAGATAAAGGTCCTCAAATTCTTGAGGCACTTCGGGACTTCGTTGAATACTGCCCAGATGACAAGGCTGCCATCATTTTGACGGCGGAGTGCGCTGCATTTCTCGATACCTGGATCATGTTTCTATTTTATGATGGCCCTAAGCCCCCCCAGGGCGTCTTTGACAACTTCACAGCCATTGGTCCACTTGATGCCACCAAGACGTGGAATAGATATTACGATCTGGTTCGTGGCCTGTCAAGATTGGCTGCTAGACCGAACTGACCCTGCACAGCTCAAACACAACGACTTCTTCATTTTACAGTAAGTGCAGTGTGTCTGCATTTTAACACATGCTCATCATACAGTGGCAAGCGATACGCCATCGCTACTGAGACAGCACCCCTTCCCGACAAAAGTGTTGGTGCAGAGGTGCTGCGCACATACTATCGCCATTGGCACAGCGTCACCAAAACAGTGCTTGATGTCCCGGGCATGGTTGGCTCGCTTGCCTTTCAGCCGATGCCCAAAGCCATCACTAGCAAAGCCAAGGCGAGAGGCGGAGTAAGTGGTTATAATCAGGCCATTAGCATCCGCTAATGCAGGGGTGATGTAGGATCTGATTGACTTCCCGATTGACCAAGACTACATCGTGATCGAATTTGACTTCTCCTATGACCTCTCCAGACACGATAAAGAGATAGATACGGCCATCAGGAGCCTCTTCAATGGTTTCGACAACATTACCAGCCAATATATTGACAACGGCATATTACCCAACGTCTACCGACCCCTCTTCATGAACGATGCCAACCACGCACAGGACTACTGGGGGCGCCTGCGCACGACGGAACAAGCCCGACAGACTAGACGCCGATATGACCCTGAGGGCTTCTTCCAAAAGCGCACCAGCGGTGGCTGGAGATTGGAGTAGATGAAGCTGCGTCCCTCGCAGCCAATACCTGCTCAGGAGTAGCCCGTGCCGTCAATCCTTCCAGCACGGAACGTATATCTTGAATCGACATCCTTCTCCACAAAACCTCAATCCATCCACCTGCATATCCTTAATATAGCGACAAGCGGCTTACCTGAAGACCGAGCGAGAGCGATCTGCACTGCAGGCGCCTCCATCCACACACATCATCAGAGAATGGATATAAAGCAACCCTGCATAAACCAAACGAGGCGGAGCCGCTCCTCCACCACTGCAATCAATTCAACATACCCTCCGCGCCAATCATCCTGACGCCGGTGGTCTCAGGTTCAAATAAGTTCTGCTGGCTGTTGGCCAGGAACAAATCCGCGATGGGGTCTCTAAGCGCCAGAGTAGGGAAAAACCAGCCCTAGCTAGATCAGGGAGCTACTAGCTGCAGTCACTCTTTTTGATAGCTAGCGGGTATCTAAACAGGTTTATCCAGGTAGGTGCTTTCTATTTGGTAAGCGCTCGCTTCACCTCCCTAACAGAGCGCACCCTGTCTGCACTGCCAGTCCAGACTACTACGTGCCGTGCCATCGGCGCTTCACCACGCAATGAGAGGGCGGGGATCCAAGTCAAGAGAAATCGATCGGACCTAGAACCTGGCTGTAGCTAAATTTGTCTGGGTCTGGAACTCGAGCTCTTTCTTTCCTTGTAGATGGGAAGGTATATAAGGTGTCTTGTCTTGGTCTGAGGATGAGTCTTCTTTGTCTACATTGACTTGTGTCACTTTGCTTATACTAATACGGATAGCTATACATTCTCTCTTCCTTTCTCTTTGTACATTCCTTTGAATTGGATTGTCCGCTCTCCTTCGCATGATTGTTTGATTGTTTGATATATTAACCAGTCTTCACGGTCCTTACTTCTGTGTGCTTGAGATACACCACTCACTCTCTCAGGAAGTGTCCCCAAGCAATTTCTGCTATAATACATCCATCTATCCAAGTGAGCAGATCAAATTACATTCAGAGAAGCAAAAAAAGAAAAGAAAGAAGAAAGATGGCTCCTTTCGGCCTCCTCGGCGCAACCTTCCTCTGCGCCCGCATCATCCAACTCTGCTCCCTCATTGCTATCATCGGTCTCACGGCCAACTTCATCGCCGAGATCGTCTCCAACAGCGCATCGCCGCCCGCCATTTTCATCGGGACCATCACAGTCGTAAGTCCCCCCCCTCACAAACCACTTCCTATCCACACACACACTCTCTCTCTAACCAATTGATGAACGCTGGACAGACCAGCATCGCTGCAATCTATGCCTTCATCACGACCATCCTATTCGTGGACAACATCCTCCCATTCCTCGCAACCGCTATCCTCGACACCCTCATCCTGATCGCCGTCATCGTCGTGTCGGTCATCATCGGCAAGCCGCTGTCCTATCTGCAGTGCAATAACATCGAGAATTATGCGACGAGTGACGGGTCTTCGGCGTATACGTTTTCCACGCACTTGAGCAATTATCTGGATGATTTGAGCGGCAAGGTGGATTACACGAGTTGGATTGGTGGGACGAAGGCGGTTTGTTTAGAGGCCAAGTCTATTTGGGGGTTGTGTATCGCGATGTGGTGGGTCTTTTAGAGTATTCGTTGGAATGGAACGAGCTAATGATCTGCTTTTTGTAGCATCATGTTCTTCTTCTCGGGAATTTGTGGCCTCGTGCTCTGGAGACAGAAGAAGGCAGCAAGTGCAGGCGTGGAGAAGCTAGAGGGTCGATCTGTGTGATCTGATCTGATCGGATCTGAACCATTGGTGCAATGCAGCCATGTGCAATATGATATGCTGAATTCTGGATAACGACGATGACGGTGACGAGGCTAATAATGCTGATGATGATGACGGTGGTTGTGATGGCGACTCGACACGCGTTTCCTTTCCTTTCCTTTCCTATCCTGTCCTGTATCTTTCTTAATCTTTCTGTTCTTCGCTTCTCTTTTCTCCTGCTCTGCTCTGCTCTGCCCTGTTCTGCCCTGTTCTGCCCTGTTCTGCCCTGTCTTCTCCAACCCTAATACTCCAGACTTCCCCAATACCTATGCTTGTACTTATACACACCTATACCTCTACCTATAACCAAAACCAAAACCATCAATCAGTAAATCAATCCACGCACACACACTCTCTCTGTCCTTCCCTTATACTCACCTCAAACCCCAACTCCCCGAAAACATTCACCCCGAACTAACCGGGGGAATAACCGCAACTTCCTCTCCCTCCTTAATCACAACCTGACTATCCTCCACCATATCAACATATTCATCCCCCAGACTGACCCCGCAGCTGGAGAGCACCTTCTCCCTGATCCCGGGGTACATTGAATCTAGGGTATCGAAGAGGAGGGATAGCGGTAGCGGGGCTGCGAGTCGCTCGGTCTGTTTGCCTGTGTAGGTGGATGCGGAGGCGAAATAGTGGATTTGGAATGTTGGGGGGTTAATGGTGGACATTGTGTTGTTGTGGTTGGGTTGTTTTTGCAATGGATGGATGGATGGTGAGGTGGTGGATTGGGGTGTCTGTATGGGGTGTGTAGTTTGTGTGTGGTTGGGGTGGTAGGTTTTGTTGTATGTAGCCTGAAGCTTGTTGGGGGTGAATTTGGAGGGGAAGGGAAAAGAGGAGGGGAAGAGACGGAGCAAAGCCGTGCGGGGTCCGCTGATAGGGCCGGAACTCTCCAGTTGGTTTTTGGCCGCGGCCAGATATCAGTATCTACAAGGTACACCTCAAACCATCATCTAAGAATATCATGATCAAATATGTTGCTTATTTACCCTCGACTAATTCCCCGAACGCAGTCACCAGATCCTGGCGGAGATCCTCCCAATTCTCTAATCCAACACTGATACGCAGCAACCGGCGATCCACTGTTGCGTCTGACATCGTCCGCCACTCGATCAACGTCTCGACACCTCCAAGGCTGGTGGCATGCTGGAAGAAAGCCAGCTTGCTTGGAAGCTTTCGGGCAAAGTCCTCCGTCTTCATAGTGATTGAGAAGACCGGGCCGAACCCACAAGGCATCTGCTTCAACAACCACGACTCATCCTCCTTCTGTAAGCTCGCATGGAAAACCCGCTCGAGGGCCCGCTGAACCACAGCCTCGTCGCTATCCGGAGCGGGGCTGGGCGCATGCAGTGCATCATTCAGCCATGACACGAGGCTCGTCGCGTTTTGGCTCTGGCGCTGCACTCGGATTTCCAGAGTCCGCAAGCTGCGAACGCCTAGCCAGCTTTCCATGTTCCCCATCACGCTGCCCAAGAAGACCCGGTCCTGGGACAGTTGTTTCGCCCAGTCCTTGCGCCGGGTGGCAAGAACCCCGCAAAGAACATCACTATGTCCACCAAAGTATTTGGTCCCCGAATGCATCACCAAGTCGGCTCCCCATTTGAAAGGGTCTTGGAGAAATGGCGGGGCAAACGTGCCATCAACAACGAGATATGCGCCTCGTGAATGGGCCTTCTCGGCATACGCTTGGATATTGAAGGCGGTTCCCTCGGGGTTCACCGGTGTTTCCAGATGAATAACGTCGCCAGCCTCCAGCTGTTCCACAGGGCAGTCCAGATCTACCTTCTGAAGTCCAGTCAGGCGCGTGAACAGAGAAATCACGCCGTGGCATCCGTGATAACCGTTTCCAATGGCAATTCGGCGGGGGTTAAGCAAGACCAGCGCCGCATGCAAGGCCGACAGCCCAGAGGAGTAGCTGATGACTTCTCCATTGAGGAGAGACGACAAGATAGCCTCAAAACGGGTAGGATTGGGGGCAGTCAGTCGAGAGTAGATGTGCGTTGTCTTCTCCTGGTCCTGCTAGCATTGCACCAGAGTTAGCACCGGGCTCGGGTTGCACTACGTCGAGAAGCGAGAGACATACCCCACTGAGGTCCGCGACCGGCACCAGATCGTCTGGATTGTCAGAGTACCGAAACGTCGTAGCAACATGCATGGGAGGAGCCACATCTGAGACCACATTCAAGGCATCATCGGCATGCAGAGCGCGCGTGGAGGGGCCCATAGGTCGATTGGCGGGAGCCATGGCGTGCAATTGATGGGGGGAAAATGGAATGAGGAAACACCAAGCCGCGGACGCAAGCGGGCTTGCGACTTCAAGGGAAGAGTTGACTCAATGAGGGAGGGAGGGGGTAGAGAGAGAGAGAGAGAGAGAGAGAGTGGGGAACACGAGGAGAAGAGCTCCACTGGGAAGAGGAGGAAGGGGGGTGCTGACACGTGATGTAGGCGGGACGGAGGGGTGGGGAGATGATTGGATGATTGGATGGTGACATGAGGGGACAGAAAATGGAAACGGGAAACGGACTCAGTCGGGTTCCATAGCGAGCTTTACCGACGGAGCGAGCTCATTCTCGACGGCTCGCGGACAGAACCCGGCACAGCCGCATGGAAATTGGTCCGGTCTAAAAACAAGCATCAGTCAGTATCAACGATGGGGCCAATGGAACCACGGGACAACATACCTGCCTCGGAGTCAAAGGCGATTGAGATATCGTCATGCTCCATTGGATACTCCGGCGTGTCCAGAGACACAAAGTCTGATGCCGGATCATCTTCGGTCTTCGGCAGAGCAAATTTGGCATCCACAATGCGCACTCCGAACTTGCCGCCTTTACCGAAGCTCTCCAGGGTGTCGGTACCTTTGAGAACAAAGTTCATGCATTTGCCATGATGGAAGTCGCTCAAGAAGACCACCAGTTGCACAATCCGCTCGCGCCGGAGGACCTGGATCCGAGCCAGACTGGACTCCCATTTCTTGGTGATCGGGACCACCATCCGACGTCGTGAGATGGCAAAGGAGGAAGCCACGCTATTACCCAGATGTTAGATCTCAATCCCCTCGGACAGCAATGATGTTCAGGAATACATACCTGTCAAACAGCACCTTGTATCCCGTCACAGCTCGTTCAAATATATGGAGGTCTGAGACACAAATCAGTGACTGGACTTGATGGCTAGGATTGATCACCGCAGTGGATAGCTACCTTGTACGGACCCAAAGTCAAATCGTCGGATCATTGGTTTCGCCATGGCGGTTTGCAAGAAATCGGTTAGTTTGTCAGGCATCTCCGGTAGGATTAGATTCTCCGCGACGGAAACGGTCAGGTCTTTCTGGCCAGGTCGATACAGACTGAGTCCCGTCCGGTTGTTGATGTCGAGGCCTAGTCTCAACTCACCGGGTCCTAGAGATTTGTCAGTGCAATCCCCAAGGCCGTGCCAATCTACATACCGAGGTTGATCCGGTCCGTAACGGAGCCCCATTCGGTTGCGATGAAAGCCCGCAGATGCTCGGATAGCACCGTCGGGCCGTACCCATGATCCACGTGCGAATGCTCCCGGTCGATGACCGAGACGGTACCAGCAGGGAATTGCAGATGTTCCTTGGCGAGCTGCCCGTTGGCGCGATCCGCTGGTTGTTCGATGGTGTAGGCACGGATGGGGATTTCAGGGGATTTCACTTCCCGGTCCTGGGGCAGGATTCCCAGAAGTAAAGAATGCATGGTGGTTCGATCTTCCAACTCGTAAAATGACATGAGCATAGACCGGGTTCTCCCTTCCTCCTTGACCTTGAGCAGCAGGGCTGGTGCCCCGTCCTCACCTCGAAGCAGGCCGAAAACAATCGGTGTGCCGTAGCCGAGAACATGACGCACACTGCTGAGAGTCTTGACTTTGGGGCTCGTGAGCACCGCTAGTCGAAAGCCTTGATGCAAGCTTCTATTGCCAGTGCCCTCAGTCATGGTCATGGACTTCTCAAACAGCCGAAGCCGACACCGCTCAACAGGGTCGGGTGGGAAGGACTTGGGCGTGCCAGGGTCCATGTACTGAAACGACTTGAGAGTATTTTCGAAAATTATTGTTTCACCCGACTCACGCTGAAGGCCAGCTTCGGTCTTCCGGGTATATTGAACAATATTCCAGATGTTCTTGAAATCGTCCTCCTGGAACACTACATCCAAGTCGAAACCGCGGGGCAGCTTGACCCGGATTGAGTGCGATCGGACTTGCCAATCCACGCTATCCCAAGTAGGGCCTTTCTTCCTGTCCGACTGGATCATGACATTGACTAGTTCATTCTGGCTGATGATGGCGGCGAATACGTACCAGTCGGCACGATCGCGGATAATGGACAATACGCAAGGCATCGTCAATTGCTCAATGTCATCTTCACTTGAGCTGACATAAACATGGACAAACATGCTTCCGTAACTGAAATAGCGATTGGTATCGCCGAGGGGCATCATCTGTACGAAGGAAGGCCCCTTGCCCAGCATTTCCACTAGAGATGCCCTCGTGGCTGCACCAGAGAGCACCGCGGAAACGTCTGCAGCGAAGGATGGATAGCGCACCCACACACTGGTGTCAACTGGGATTGCGGAATCCCTCTGCGTGGATATTGTCACTAGGATATTGTTCCTCTTAATAGACATGGCCAATGAACGTAGATGATTCATCATGGCCTGATGCAGGCTAAGGAGATCGGCCAACTGTACATTCCCGGTTGTGCTGGCTACTGCAATCAAAGCATCAATACCCATGGCACCATAGCGCGTCACCTCATCATGCTGGGCAACAATATTTTCATTGATCCACAAAGCTTTAGCAAGATCAATAATAGCTTGTTTCGCACTTCCCGTGGAGCTCTGCTGGGGTGAACGTGCTCCAGAGCTCGAAGGACGGGCGCGTGCATAAGCTTCCAGTTGTTTCTTCCCACGCAAAAACCACCATGCCGCAGCTCTCATCCATTCGGAAAGGGAAGTCTCTGCTATAGGCTTTGCATCTTCGGCCGAGGTTTGAATCAGGCCTCTAAATTGTGTCATATACACTTTCAGATCCGCGAAAGCGGTGTTGCCTAGCTGATTGGCAATAGACCGCAACGAAATTTTGGGGGGTTGAGGGCTCCGAGAAGTGTCACGATTATCCCTGCTAGATGGACGTGCAGGGCCGTCCGGCTCAGCGATCTTGGGGATAGGGTGACGCGATTGAGGGGAAAGGATTTGGGTACTTCCACCAGGTGAAAGTATAGAAGGATGGACGGGGGTCTCAGGACTGCGATCGATTGGACTGCGATCGATGTGAGGAGGAATCGGGGATCCTCGAAAAGAATTCTCTGGTGGGCTTGGCTCCGTCTCTGAGAGGGGAGGCGTCTCATACGTTGAACTGGGACTATCGGGAACAACTTCCGCGGGGGCTTGGACCCCGGCGTCCTCAGCAGGTGAGGGAGGTTCCGGCAGTCGATGCTGTAAAGCACGCCCCTCCTCGGCTTGCATTTTGTCCCGGATACGTTGGGCAAAAGAATGGGACTCGGGCGATGCACGGAATGACAAACGGGAGCCTTTGTCTCCCAGATTCAACGTCATGAGGAAATCAGCGTCCTGGGGGTTTTGTAGCAGCAGTGGCTTCCAGTCTTCTGCATTCATTCCCTTCTGCTGGTCTCTCTCTTGAGGTGTGGATCCATTTTTGTCACCAAATGATGTGTCCAGGCGGAGTTGGGGAAGTTTAGGCTGGCGGTCACCAAGATCATCCAGCTCATCGGGGCCCTGAGTTTGCGCGGTCTTGCGACTTAGAGATATTTCCATTGTCGGCGTATCCGTCTCCTCACCCCCTTCTCCGATCAAGTCGGGCATCCGGTTGCTAAACTTCACTTTCAATTTCAACCCCTTTCGGCGACTTTTGAAAGGGGGTTTGGTGAAGTCCGCAGGCGGTGGAGTATCACGAAGAGAAGGCGCATTTAGGACGTCTTGGGCAGACGGCCATCTATGGCCGGCGTCCAGTCGCGGAGGCGAGATCTGGTCTGCTCCGTAGGATACGGATTTCGAGCGGGTGGGCCCGAGGAAAGCCTCGATCTGCTGGTCAGTGGATCCCTTGGGCCGCTTATCCTTTGAGAACAGCTTCTCCCTCCAATGTGGCTTCTTGGCCGGCGCCGGTTTCTGTTCGCCAGCAATGAAGGCGAAAGGATCATCGGTAGACGTAGACATGTCTGCCGATTTCAAGGTGTGTACACTTTTCCGATACGGTACGGCCTGCTATAGAGCATCGCAAGAAATACAGGATAGGGCCGTGCAAAGTATATACGGTTCTTGTCCGTGTGTATTCCCCGCCTAGTCTCGTAGGTGCTTGTGCGCAGGTAGAGGATCGACAGGGGCTATTGTAGACAATTCTTCCGGCAAATACGTAGCGTAGTTAGACACCGCCGGTCGCAGGTGACTAGTACTCCAGGCAAGGTAGATGCTCAATGTAACGAAGAAATAGAGCGGGAGGCAAGTGGCGGCGGGCAAGCGACTCGCTAGAGTTGTTTGTTTTCGCGGTGGATAGAGAAGCGCGGTGTGAGAACAAGCCAGCAGATAATAAACTCCAGGACCGGACGTGTGCAGGGCGATTGTCCAGGCAAATTGGTGTTGCTCGTACTGGCACTGGTGGTGGAGGACCGGCGCGATTGCCGTCGTTGTCTGGTGGGGATTCGGAGACGAGCGATCTACCAAGACCAATTAAATGACCGTTTAGAAACGGAGCTGCAACAAAGGGGGATGATCTGAGCAAGCTTCAAGGGGTCAGGTAGAGAGGCATAGGCCAGTAGCTAACTAACCCAATAACTAAAACGTAAGGTGGGATGTCCGTAGACGCCTGCGCGAGCGGGTTTGGCGCTCCCAGCTTCTCAAGACGATAACTATAGGTAGAGATTGTAGGAAGAGAGAGACGGGCACAAAAGCTGTTCCAGCAGCTGCTCACACGATATCTGGGGTGGGGGGGAAGGGCGAGCAATGCTCCAGCCACGGGCAAGGAACCGAAAGAAGAGGGAAGGAAAGGGGGAGGGAGAGAAGGAAAAGGATCACAAACAATCAGGAACATGGGGGACAAGTGATGGTACGACCCCGTGCTATTAAACCTCTCTCCGACCGAGGGACGGGTACCTCAGGCAGGCTAGGGGAGGATCTCCGCCGTGCTGTTCCACCGCTTGCGATTCTTCAATCCACCTCTCCAATCCTCGCGCTATCAGGAATCCCAGCCAACGTGGTCGGTCCCCGCCCTTTCGTGGATGCTATTTCTAGAATGTCAGGCGATGACTGGTGACAATGGAGGATTGCCGTTCTGGTGCATACGAGTCCCTCCCCCCCTACTGTGTACCTAGTACTTGTAATGTGTATGCAATGGCGAATCAGACCGGCCACGAACCATAAACTTCGTCGATCACGTGGGGGAGGGTCGGGGGATAAAGCAGAAGAGCATGGCAGGTCAATTGCTATCTATCGTTTAGCTGCAGGGGCCACAACTGGATCCTCCGTAATAATAATGATAATAATAATAATAACAATAATAATACTAATAGATTTTGAATTTGGGAAATTGTAAACACTAAACACTGGCAACATTCTTGCGCTGGATCGCTGCGCACCGCCTCTCCACTCCCACTCGGCTATTTTACAAGCTTCCAGGTGAGAATGTTCGATCCTAACCAGGATGTCGGAGTGTCTCTGACGGTCTGACCATGGCAGCGGGTGAGGACTATTATTATCTACCCCGATTCCCATCCCGGATAGCACCGCAGCAGAGCAAGTTGAACCTGACGTGGAACTGGTGTGAGACGAAGTTGAATCAAAGCGAATAGAAAGACAACCCCTGTTATCACAGAAACCGATCAATCTGGCCTGGGAGGCGTGATTGGAGCCCACTCCCCCAGTGCGTTCCGTTGGCTGGCCCCGACCCTCAGTTTGAAACGGCCCTAGACCGGCTCGGGATAGGCCCCGCGCCACCCTATCCCTCTTCGGGTGAGGCTGCTGATTGCTCGGTGGGCCGCTGACGAGCCCCCGGCGAACCTTGCACGCTTGGTCCGCATGGGATTTTGGGAAAGAGCCGGACGCCAGGAGAAACAACGGCGCTGCTGACCTGCTGTACCTACCTACTACTAGGTACTAGATAGATAATAGGGCCTGTAGTTAAGTTGGTTCCGGCATCCGTTCGGGCTGGGCTTCTTGCCTTGCATCTGACGGAGGCGAAGCTAAAGCGCTAGATAGAAGCCGTCAATGGTTTGTTGGGGGCTAGTCACACAGTATCTATCTATCTAAACAGCCAGGCTGCAACCAAGAGAGGCCCTTCTTCCGATAGTTCATACCCTACTTACATGGTAATTTACCCTGTTCGTGTGACCTGCATCGAGATAGATAGCAGGGGCGGTACTAGCCCATAGGACCACTACAAGTATATAATCAGCTCACCGAACATGCAGGATTGCCAAGAAATTCAGATGCCGTACATATAATCATCAGTATGCTCTTGTCAGAGTGCACCGTACCGCAAATATGTCCCCTGTCAAGCGACATACAAATGCCACCCAGAGAGATCATACCTACCCCATTCTTTTTTCAGACAACAATGAACAGAGTCACGAGTATGGAGAAGTATCTGGTACGAAGTCCTCCGTACTGCCTAGAGAATCCGAGGGGGCTATAATAATGATCTCATCCCCGGTCAAGCGTTTCCTACGTTCCAAACGGAGTAATCGTCCCGCTATCTCCAGTCCCTAGTACTACTAGGAAGATCAATAATAATGAAGGGCCAATTATTCGAGCAATTTTGTGCCGCTCATATGGAGTCAACGAATAAGCTTCGTCGCAGGATTATTAGGTGCTCAGAACAGCAACGAGCCCAGTATTCACTAATCATCGTATATAATATCTCACAGCATGAAAGACTGGCGCGACTATTTTCAGCCCCAGTGACGACCTCTTGGCACAGAAATGTTGCTGTTGTTGACTCCGCAGCTACTAAAGAAACAACGGGTATGATAACAGTATCGACATACGCGAGTCTTTTCATAACGAAAGTACGTACTGGTGGTACCTACACTTAATAGTGCCTGTGTAGGGAATTGCATTGTCAATTATTCTATCAATTTATCAACACAACTTATCTTCGAGTATTCACCTCTAAGCGGCTATATGAAGTGCGTGGGAAGCTCCGGGAAATATAACAATATAATCAGTGACCATGGAATTTGAACCTGGATTTTATGAGTACACTAAATGGGTCGACAAAATGGCCCCCCTTCCTTCTGGGTCTTTCCTCTTTGCATGCGGGCTGCTTCTGTATGGTTGACATACAGGTGCCACCGGGCAAATCGCAAGGCTCTCGGCAACTGTCTGGTGCCTGAAATGTCATCCTCACTGATGGATATAGTAGAGTATAAATCAGGCTAAGTCTTGAGGTCCTCGGCTTTCCGCTTTCATCGATGCCGACCAACACCTCTCATGCACGTACCTACGTAGCCGCGCATGGCGAATGGTCGTACAGCATAACCTGCCAGGGAACTAGAACTTTAGAAGATCTACCTATCCGCCAATCGGCGAGAACGTGACATTTGTTTGAGTCGTCTACTTATCTGTACCATGATAAGGTAGCTGGCTAAGGTCTTCGACTGCGGTCTTGCCAGATACTACGAAGTATCTGAAGAGTCGAGACTTTATAGCCATTGGTACTCCGTACCGCTGACTGGAAATGATGAGTGCACGGGGATTGAAGTTCTGGAGCTTCCCTCTTTGTGCTCATCCCATCCAGAGTTATTGCCAAGGGTATAACGAGTACATATATATCCCCTCCTCACTCCTCACTAACCTCCTGATATTCTCTCAAATATTTCTCCAAAAGGGAGCGGAAATTATTTTCAGTAGTGGGATACTGCCCCCCCACATACCAACGCCCCTTTTCGATCCATCCAGGTAGCTGGATAAGATTCACCTTGAATGCCTCGAAGGTTGCCTGTAGTAAGTGATCCAAAGCTGTTTCAGTTCTAACGCGATCATACGAGGATGTTAGTGCTTCCAGTAACAATGCTAAGCTTTCGCGAACGTGCTGGCTGTACTCCATAGGACGCAATTTACCGCAATTAGGCAACTGCGTTTTCTTTTCTACCATGTATGATATCTTTCGCCCCTTAATAAGCTGGGAAGAAAAGGCCACAAGATATTTCAGAAAGGAGAAAAAGAAACGAATACAAAAGTCTCGTAAGTACATAGAAGAACAGGGAAATCGATCCTCCAGTGGCAAAGCCTCCCGGAGATGCAAGGACCGATCGTAGGGATCAGCCCTCAATAGCTTACATTGTATTTGAGAATCATAGCCACCCGTTGGGAGCTGGGAGGAAACTTCTTGGTAGACTCATCCTGACTATCGCGATTCGCGACAGCTAAGGTACTAGGTAGGTTCGTGTTCGAGCTTGTTTACCCCAAGCTATCTTTCGTTCCCGATGGTACTCTTCGGTCGGATCAGAGCCCACCCACCATCCCTAGAATGTATATTCCTAACGATCACTCCGTACAGTATGATCCTTAGTTAGAGACCATTTTACAGGCTTGCCTACATTAGAAGATGGTGCATCTAGCCACGTTATGCACCAGGCTGGGACATGGCTGAATCAAAACGCCAGGATCCACACCTGTCATTATGTATAGGGCTACATTGTTCTGTCTCACACTCAGTTTTCTTGGCCTTCCGGCCACCCACGTAGAAAGGCCTAGAAAGTCTCACTGAGACCTAGGCATTATTTTAAGTTTCATGCAGCCTAAACCAGCAGGAGGATGCGGTTGTACAATGGTCGTTATCGCCATATTCATTTTGTTGTGGGAGGGGAGCGACCAGAGGGTCGTGTTTTTCGATTGAAACCCACGGTATGACGGTAAGGGATGAGCTTCTTCCCGACCTTCCCAGCTCCATGAAGCTGGGGCTGGCAGGTTACACAATGATGGACCATGGACGGAACCGATTTCAGCCCCCCCCGATCGAATTCCGGATTTGAACCTTTTGTCAAGTAAGCGACAAAAAGGCGGCCGATTCACAAATGGTAATAATAACCATCAGGTAATAATCGTGGCATGGAGTGAGACATTATTGTCCAGCATGAGCCTCAGTAGTTCCGGTTGATACGGCCGGCCAGGCAGATCAGGTTCTGTGTGGTAACAGTAACCCGGTGGACTTGGTTCCTCAGGTTAGCGGTTTCCAAGTTTAGAAGCCACCGCCCACCACCTCATCCACCGACCACACACCGCCCCAATCAGTGGCTCCCCGGGGGTGTGGGAGCAAAGCGAACAAACATGGCGGCGCAGTCAGCAAGCCCGGCTGCTGGTGGATGGATCGATGGGCCTTCGCTCAGCCCGAACTGGGGGGCCTCGCATACCAATCATGCCAACCTTTTTTTTTTCTTCCTTCTTCCTTTTACCCTTGTCACTGACTCCCAGCGAGGTGCTTTGCCAGTCCGAAGTCTAAACGGCCTATCGTCGTATCGGTCTTCCACTCGTTTTCTCTCCACCACCGCCGACTTCCCGTGTTTACTTCCTCACCTTCCGACCTGACCATCCCCTCCCCGCCGACCCCCGAAGTGATGGTGCGCATCCCCTATATCGCCAACTTGGGGGAGATCGAGGAGTAATCCACTCCTGTTCTCGAATAGCCCTCTCACACGCCTCTTTGTCATTCGTCCCACCCAGCTTTTCCTTTCCCTCGCGACTCGCTCCGTTCATCCCGCCTGCTGTTCGGTCGCTCGTTGCATCTGACCGCGGAGGGTCGCATACTTGAAGCCTTATCTGGTACCTAAGGTCCTGGCATCATCTGCATCCTTCGATACCGCTTGAACAACGTGGATTGAATTAATTACGAGGGGACTGACCTCCCCGAGGAGGTCATCCCGATCGCACCCTACGGCCGAAATGTCTGTACGTCGCGACGCGAGATGGCACCGTGACTCAGGACCGGAGATCATCGCCCAACGATGCGGCACTCCAGGCTTAGGAGTCGGGCAGGATGCTCCTTATAGTCGCTCAGGGCAACAACAGGCACGACGACGATGGCGGCGCAAAGGTCGACCGTGGATTGGCAGTGCTGGGTTGATGTTCATAGTGCTGTTGATATCGTGGATACCTCCGACCTACGCTGCCTTGTTGAATTTTGAGAACTGCTTGGATGCCGCCGTAATCGAATCAAACCCACTACAGCTGCAGTTCGTCCCGTTTGATGTGTCCGTCGTTTTCGATCTAGAGAACTCTCTTCATCCTCTAAACATATCGGTTTATGGTAACGTCTCAGGAACTGCTAATGGGGAGTCCTATCCAGCCCCGGATGATCCCCAGTGGTCGAACCCGAACGATACCGTAGGAAAGATTGTGGACGTGGACATAGCTAATGATAAGCGCTCAACCCTTCTGCCTTTCATCGACGTTCTCAGTTTTTCTCCCTATCATGAAGCGTCGGCATTCTGTGACTCGGTCTTTCAGGGGGCTTGTCCTCTAGGTCCCGTCTTCTACGTCAACTCGTGAGCCATTTCTTTCCGTTGACGCTTTCCCCTCCCAATCATGCAGTGACTAACAAGACATATGCCATTGTTATAGGTCGGACCTGTCTGCTTTGCGCGCCTTCTCTCTTGCGCATGATATGCTATCTTCGTACCGCTTCTCGACATTGTCATCGAGACTTGTGATTAAATCTGGCGACAAAGCGGCTACGGAGCTCGGTTGTATCTCTGTGGACATTACCCCGGACCTTGGAATATCGCTGAGGAACACGTTATCCTATGTTCCCCTCGTGATCCTTCTTCTGGTAGGAATCGCTACTGTGACGGCGGCGATCTATAGCCCCTGGGGCACCACTGATCCTTTCCATTGGACTAGCAACTACGGTCGTGATGAGGATGTTCTGCGACTTGTGACTCCTGGTTTTGGAGACTGCCTACAGTACATTCAGTTTGCAGTGCTAACCGGCTCCCTAACGCTTAACTATCCTGGTTTTTACCAGCCTGTGCTTAGCCAAGTTGCTTGGTCCGTACTCATGTTCAACCAGAGTTTCTTGGACCCTGGAAGGGAGCAAATGCCCGTGAAAGATGGCGTTTATACCGTCAATGCTACGTACGGATTGGACAGGTTGGATCGGTATGTCGGCATGCCTGCAGCGCGTGATATCTGGCCAGGAATGATGGTTTGGCTACTTGTCATTGTGGTAGCGATCACGCTACTGATCCAGGTAGCTTTTGGGCTGCGGTTGCTCCATCGTACGATCGCCAATAATCCGGAAGAGGACCTTCGTTCCAAAAACATGCCCTTTACAGTCGGGAACATCATCCGGATCGTCTTCAATTATCTACTTCTACCGCTTGTCTCGATATCATTTTTCCAGCTGGTTATTGCTGGCGAATCCCCCGCATACTCTGTTGCCCTAGCAGTTGTGGTCATGGTGATCTTGGTAGCCTTTTCTCTCTGGACAGTCCGGCTGATTGCAACTACTCGTCCCAAGTCCTACCTCTTCGATGACCTTTCGACCGTGCTCCTCTACGGCCCGCTCTATAACACTTTTTGTGATGATGCAGCCGCCTTCGCTTTGGTTCCAATCTTCCTAACTTTCGTTCGTGGGATTGCGATTGGGGCGCTGCAGCCATCCGGCATTGCCCAAATCGTGCTGCTCGCCATTTGCGAGGTAGTGTCGATTCTAACACTAATCGCCTTCAAACCATTCCCATCGCCAACCTCGATGAACCTCTACCATGCATGTTTCTCCATCGTTCGATTCCTAACTATCTTGCTCAGCGTCGTTTTTGTCCCTTCCTTGAGCATCTCCCAAGCCGCTCGAGGTTGGATCGGCTATACCATCCTTTTCTTGCATGCGCTGGTCATGGTTTTTGGCTTCTTTCTGAACGCTTTGCAAACCCTTATCGAGGTCATTGCGCGACTCGCTGGTGCGGGAGGCTACGATGGGGGGGTTACTCGAGGTGGCCTTGTTAAGGTTTTCGGTATGCGACAGCTGTCACGGCGCGTGCCCAGACAAAGTGTCGCCACTCGTCAAAGCATGGGCTCCGAAGCTGCGATGCTAGCACACACAGATGATCGGTTATCCTCGCAGTTTGATGGATCCAGACCTCGGAGTCTTTCGGGAAGCTCAGCCATGCTTTTGAACCGAGCCGGTGCAAGTGAAGGGCGAGCTAGCGCGATTTTCGACTCGGGGAGTGCGCACGGAGGAACGCATAGTCGAGCGAACAGCAGCGGGTTTTTCACGCCCTCGACACCAGGAGGATTTGCTGCTGCAGGGTATCAAACTCCGGGAAGCAACTCTCCCAAGAGCGGCCCCGTCTTTCCTATGCATCCACATGACCCTTACTACCGACCTCCTAGGCCCCGCAAGAAGGTCGTAGATATGGGAACTGCTGGGGAGAAGGGTAGGGCATCACGGCACACGCAAAGGTCAGCAAGTTATGGGGAGACAGATGATGATATCATCGAAGGACCCTCGATCTCTGGCAGAGGCACGCCTATTCCCGCGTATATCCCCGCACCCAAAGATGACCTCGATCTTGACGACCCCCGGCAGTCAAGGAAGGATTATGCAGTCCGTGAAGTCGACTTCTACTACCGAGTACGAGGACCGCCATTATCTCAGTCGGGCACTCGCAAGTTGAAGACGGGCCCGGCTGATCCCACGGGCCCCGTATCTTCTGCCACAGGGTTTTTCCGCAGCCTTTTCAGGGGAAAGACCAAGGAGAAAGGGAAAGGCTTCGAAGTTGTGCGCAGTAGCAGAGCGCCACCGCCTGGTCTTTTTCCTGAAGGTGAAGACTTCCATGATGACCCTGAGCCCTACAGAGACGAACTGGACGACCAGGGCACTGCAGGGGAGACTCATGAGGGCTCGGAATCAGATGCCCAATACCACGATTCAGATGGGGAGGGTAACGAGAGACCTACGGAGGCGCAGATTGTTCTGCCAAAGGTAGAAACAGGCGGCGATATCGAGCTCCCGAGTCGTGTGGGCTTCCAGCATAGCTCCCAGTCGCCCTCTTCTGCTCGACAAGGTACCGGACGACAGGGCTCTATAGGATCCTTGGCTCCGGAAGAGCAGGATTTGGCGCAAAAGTCCCTCTCGGCGGTAACGGAGACGGCTATTGGGGAATCAGCTGAGCTCAGTCATAGGCAAGAACCATCGGTTCATCCTTCTAATCAGCTTCACCCCTCAGCTTCGGTCACCAGTCGGCTCCCATTCAGTGCCACCAGCTCACCTTCTCGAGATCGCAATTTCTCCATTGCCTCGACGTCTGCTTCCACGACGTCCAGCCGTCGGGTCAATGATGGAAGTGCCCGGGTTGAGCGTCCGTCCAGCATGGGCTACGTTGCGCAGTTCCGCACTCAGGATAATATCCACGAAGCCAGCCCGGATGAGCCGTCGTTTGCGGGCAGCGCCGCCGAGCTGGTGGACGAGGTGCACCATGCCGGGGAGGCACGCTGAAGATGACGAATTTCTTTTCCTATCTGTGTCATCCTCAAAAACAATTTTGTGCAGGAGTTTGTGATATATGGGTTGGATTTCCGTTACATATGCAATCGGATCCTGCAGCATTCTGCTGGCCAGCGTGTCTCAATTTTCCGTTTTCTCTCTTCTTATATTTATCTTTGTCTCCTATCCAGCTCTCCTGTCCCAATCTCCTTGCTCATGCATTGTGGCCGAGGTCACCGTATCCGCCCAGCCCGGGTCGGGACCGGCCGTTTATTATTATTATTCTTTTTTTCTTCGCAATCCCAGCGTCGCATTTTGTATAGGTTGGCGGTTTCTTTTCATGTATGGAATATTAGGCAATAGTTCTATTTAACTATAATGGGTGGGCCTTGGAGGCCAGGAGTGTGCGACAATATGCTGAAATACCAATCCTGCCGGTTCAAAGTTACCCCTCTATCCCTAGGGATGGCAAACCAGTCCTAGATAGTCCACCGTACCACAGGTATTGGTATTATGGGAAGATGATCTTCCTCCAGGGCGTCGTGGAAGGAAGTTTACACCGAGCTGGGTGGTCTGGCTGACTGTGAGTGACGGGGTGCCAGATCCACCCGATCAGGACTCGGTATGCACGCTGGCCCCAAGATCTCCGAGTCGGAATCCGACCAAGAAACGAGCCAAAGAGCGAGCGGGAGAGAGAGAGAGAGAGAGAGAGACTAGTCATGGGCCGTCGAGGTCATCGGTCGGGGGCTCGTGGCTGGCGCGAGAGAAGAGATTCCCGGACCGCCATTTTGCCCCGCGGCGAACCCTCGGGTGGCTATCGAGCATCGACCGACCTTGGGCCAGCAGCACCGCGTTGGTGATCACTTCTCACGCCTCTTCGCCGGTCCCTTCCCCATTTTCGATCCGTTACAGACTTGCAGTCAGTCAGCCGGGAGGGCCTCGAGCTGTCCAGTCCTGGGGCGCGTGTTCTCCTTCTGGATCCGGAGTCACGAGACCTGTTTCCCCCCTGGCCGACCCTCATTTGCCTTCGACGCCCAAAAGTCCGGACGGGCGATTCTCGTTTCCTCGGCCTCCCTGGCTGGGATAAGCCTGACTTCACTGTCACTTCACTTACTTTCCTCCCCCTCCCTCCTGCTCCTCCTTCTCCTTCAGTGAATTTCCTCTTTTTACATCCTCGCATTCACCCGCCTTTTTAAATCGTCTCTCCACGTCCGCCTGCCAGTTCCGCTTCCCCCTCCCATCCTGGCCTCATCGCGCCACCCGGTCAATGACGGTCCGTCGTCCAAACGGCGGAGATTAGTCTCCTCTGCAGCGACCGGCAGACAATCAGCATCCACCTCGACCTTCCCTCCGCTTGTCCCCTTCCCTAGGTTCATGTCGTCCACGTCGAGTTCAGCCTCGTCCAGTTCCGCTGCCTCAGCCTCCGCCGCCTTCGCCGCCCCACCGCCTCCTGCTAATATCCGACCTCATGCGAGCTCGGAAAATTTACGGTTCAGTGAGGCTGGCCCTGCACTAGATAGACGCACCGAGAGACGGCGATCCACTCTCAGCGGGTCGGATCGTAAACGGCGGATAGTCAATCTGGAGGGCGATGCGTGGTCGAGGCGTGCAGCTCCCGACCCGTTGACCGAAGCCGGCCCGAGTAGTAGAGCAGAGATGGATGCCAGCAGGTCGATTTCCCAACTTTCGTTCCACACGCGACAGGATTCGGCCCTCCCAGGTTCCTCCTATGCAACCCCGGTCGGTTTAACACCCTCACCATTGGAATCTCGCCCGCAGGGCCCGAATGGCCATCGGCGTGGATCGTGGTCGCGCGCGGAAAACAATTACGTGGAGTATATACGGCCGCACTGGCAACCTGATGTGGAGGTGACGAAATGTCCCATCTGTGGATCGAATTTCAGCTTTTGGTACAGAAAACATCACTGCCGTAAGTGTGGCCGAGTTGTGTGTGCGTCATGTTCACCACACCGGATTACCATCCCACGCCAGTTCATCGTGCGCGATCCCAGCCGGTCCCATGCGTCATCCTCTCTGATCCCTCCAAGGACCGCTCCGGCCCTCGGTATGGGAGGAGATGATACCGTCCATTCTCCTACAGCTCTCAACCCGGCCCTGGGCGGCGGGGAGGAGGTGCGGCTTTGTAACCCATGCGTTCCGGATCCGAACCCAGAACCGCCCCGTGGGTTTGCGACTGTTCGAACCCGTGGGGAAGCCGAATCGGGCACGGGCGTAGTGCAGGGGGCCTATGCCGTTCCATCCAGTCAATCTCGGCGCCGGTCTTATCATTCAACGTCGTCATCTTCCGCTACCCAACATCCGTACAGTGCCGTGCTTGTGAGTTCCCTAAGTCCCCCCAAGCAGTGGTAATGCTCTTCACCACTAACCACCAGTTGATCCGCTGCAGCCAGGTACTTTCCCTTCCCGACAGGGTCGACGGACAGTGGGCTCGAGCGATTTCCTGACATTTGGCGGGTTTGGAAGCGCGTTTACTCCACGGCTCCAAGAGCGGCCTATGGATTACGGTTCGCTGTCGAGTTCCCGCATTCCTCCTGCGGCTATGGGTGATGGTGCATCTGCTCGACCACTTTATCCAGCTGCCGGAAGTGCCAGCTCGTTGCCTGTGTCGTCGTCGACCGCCCGGCCCCCAGCCCTGCGGATATCGCAGTGGAATCGGAGCCATGTCGAGGAGCGCGATCTTTGTCCGATTTGTGACCAGGCACTCCCGGCGTTGGGGGAGAACGGGAGCGAGGATGCCCGGGAGGCACATATTCGCGATTGTATTGAGAGTCATGGTCGGCAGGGACGCTTATCACCCCCGATCGGCAGCCCTGTGGCACAAGCGCACCTTCCTGTTCGCCTCGTCGTGTTCAAGGCCACAGAAAAGGACTGCATTGGACAAGATGGCGGGCTGCAGGAGTGTACCATCTGCATGGAAGAATATGAGGTTGGTCAGTCCCTGGTGCGGCTCGAGTGCTTGTGCAAATTCCACAAGCGCTGCATCGTGGAGTGGTTTGAACGCAAGAAGGAGTGCCCGGTGCATAAGGTATCCTGACTGAGCTGATGTGTTGTTGTCGCGGCTGGTTTCGCGCTGGTTTGTTTTCGATCTCCCGTAGCGATTTACATGACGAATGTTCTGTCTGAGAGTTATGTTTCTATGAGCCGGAGTCCTGGCTTGTTGTTTCTGACTTGGCGGCTGATCTACAGCCCGGAGTCTTTGTTTCTTGTTAGGGAGTCATGGGTCTACGTTGGTGTTTTGTACTCATTCTTGTTCCCCCCTTCCCACCCCTCCATGTGTCTGCAGTGATTCGGTGCTCGAGTGGATTCATGTCATTTAACTAGAGCGGGTACAAATACCACCCGCAATTGGATTTAATGAGTCTATTTACTTAAACCCGAAAGGGAGATGTGATGAGAATGGTGCACACGTAAGCTGCGGGGGGAAGGGTTGGAAGTCTGGGAAAATTGGTGGTCCAAGTACATACGTATACTATACATACTTGCTAGGGAATCATGGAGGAGATCGTTGTTGTAGTCAAGTATACATTGTGTCGTGTACTCCTGATGTTTGATGGAATGAAATGATGAATGATGGGCCGCAGATTGGGCGGAGCTGCCAGTCAAGGAAAGAACGAACGAGAGAAAGGTCGGCCGCCCCTCCACTTGAGGCTCCTTCGCTCACCTCTCAGTCTCGCGGCCTCCGCATTTCCCTTCCCTTCTTCTTCTTCTTCCTCCTTCTCTTAGGTTTCATTTTTTCGTCTTGCTTTTCATCGCCAGTGATCCGGACTAGATGTCTTACGGGCCTGTGAACGGAGTCCTTCCTTCCGTTGCCCCTCTGAAATCCCCTTTTTAAGCCGACGACCAACCCGCCTGAGGCCTCCACGTCGGGTGTCGGCCACCGACCGTCCGGTTCTCCGATCTTCGTGAACTGCAGCCCAGCCTCCATCGAGCTCTGCTCCCTTTCTTTCGCCCCTCATTTTCCTACCACTAGGGTAAGCTTCACATTCATTTCGACTGCTGCTATCCATTCTGGGTTAAACCTGCCAAGCGATCGAGAAATTTGCCAGTCGTTGTCGCTGGCCATGGCGACCACCGCCCGTCAAGCAGGCCCAGGCTGACATGCCCATACCCAGTCCCCGCAACCGATGGAGATCGATCCGCGTCTGCGTGCTGGCAGTGACACCGGTCCTGCCAACGGCACAGCAGCCGGTCGCTCATATATTCCATCCCCCGCCTCCAGACATCCCGAGACCACTGCCGGCCCTTCCGCTCCCACAACCAGCGACTACCCTGAACCTCCTTCCCCCTTCTCCCCGGCTGACCAGTTGCGATCCGCCGTCTCGTCCTCGAGTGGGCCCAGCTACTTCGGCAGCGCCGCGCAGTCCCAGTCGACGCAATCTATATACTGCAGCGGGCCTGATCCTGGGTCTGCTCTCGGCACCACTTCCCGACTTGACTCCGTCGACCCAAATGACCCCTATGCAGAGCTGAGACGTCCGCGCGCCTGTGAAGCTTGTCGACAACTTAAAGTCCGGTGCGAGCCGGACCTCACCCACCCCAATGGAACGTGTAAACGGTGCGCGAAAGCTGGCAGAAACTGTATCGTGACTCTCCCGACACGCAAGCGCCAGAAGAAGACGGACAGCCGCGTCGCAGAACTGGAGAGAAAGATTGATGCCTTGACCGCCAGCCTGCAGGCTTCCCAGGGCCATGAATCTCTTCCGCCGCCTGCGCCGCTCGACCCACCGCGCGAGGAGCCCGTGGGAAGGCGCTGGCTGTCATCGACAACGCATGCTCCCTCCAACGGACCTGTGCCTCTAGGTTCCCCAAATTGCTCGACGGGGACCAAACGGCGACACAGTGGAGACGCTAAAGAGGTTGCCGCACCGGTGTGTTCCCGCCATTCGAGCCCTAGCGAAGAACAAGTGCTGTATAACAAGGCTATCAGACAATGGCGCGCCATGGGATACGGACCGGATCCTCAATCAAAGGATGAAGCTGGCGAGGGGGGTGGGGATATCATTGATAGAGGCCTTGTGAGCGCTACCTTGGCTCAGGAGGCATTTACCAAATTTACGGATCAGATGGCCAACCAGATTCCTTTGGTGGTGTTCCCCCCAGGAACAACAATGCATGAGGTGCGGCAGAAGAAACCGGTGCTGTTTCATGCGGTCATTGCGTCTGGGATTGGCACCATTCAACCCCAGGTCCAATTATCTCTTCTAAATGACTTTTACAAGGTGCTCGCAGAACGAGTCATTGTGAAAGGTGAAAAGTCTCTTGACCTGGTTCAGGCGATCCTGGTTTGCTGCAATTGGTACTCGCCGCCAGACAACTTTGAGGAGGTAAAATTCTATCAGTTGTCGCACATAGCCGTCTCGATAGCCATGGATCTAGGTCTTTATCGAAAGGCAATTCCCAAGTCCAGGCCTTTCGCTTTGGTCAAGGAACTCATCTCGAAGAAATCGTCCGTAGTATTAGACCTGGATTCGCCGGAGGCGAGAAGGACCTGGCTCGCGTGTTACTTCCTTGCCGTACAGTCTGTGCTCCAATGCCCACGATCTATGTGTCGGGCTTATTGTTAATACTGTCTATAGGGTTGCTATCTCTTTGAGGCGCGTGAATCTCGTGCGATGGCTCCCGTACATGGACGAGTGTGTGGAGATACTCGAAAAGTCTCCCGACGCCTTACCGTCCGACAAGGCCATGATCCAGTGGGCGAAGCTGGCGCAAATAATCGAAGAAATATCCGTTCAATTCACTAGCGATGAAGCCCCCTCGGTCATGTCATTCTCAGACCAGAAATTTCTCCATACGCTTAAAGTTCTTGAGAGGCAACTAGAGCAATGGAGACGGGAAACTTTGCCGGAGCACTATTCTCGTACGACCTTTCCCTGCAGTCTTCGCCCTAGCACATGCTGACAGATCCATAGCCATCATGAAGCAATGCGAGTGTATTATCAATCTCTTCCTTCATGAGAATGCAATGCACGTCGAATTCAACAAGGATGATCCCAAAACGGCAAATGACGACCTCACAAGCCCTACCATCCCAGCTCACATAAACGCCCTAAGTGCCTGCCTCACCTCCATTCACGATGCCCTTGATACTCTCTGCTCTATCGACCCCAAGGATCTGGTCTTGGCACCCACTGTCGCCCTCGCCCGAACCTCCTTCGCCGTCGTCGCCCTCATCAAGATCTACTCCATTGTCTCCAGCCCAGACACCCGCCTGGGCCAGGTCATAGAAATAAGCAGCCTGAAAACAGAGTACTATCTGGACAAAGTAATCCGTCATTACACCAAGGCAGGCGAATTTCCTGGCGGCCGAACCCCTGCCAAGTTCAGCGTCGTCCTCACCTTGCTCCGGAATTGGTTCATGAAACGTAAAGATCAAGGCCCAGTTCTCAAGGAAGCACTGTCCCTCTACAAGTGTCCAAAGGAGATTCCCGATGACGATGACAGAAACCAGGTTAGTCCAGAAATTCCATGTAGACCTTCTATTCATTCATTCTCACGAACCTACATTTGCCACCCTGAATAGAATCAGAGCTCCCCAACTAACCGACCTGACCAGCAACCGCCCAAAACCAGTCAAACGCCCCTCCACCTTCTCAGCGAAGTCGCCATGGGCGATCCTCAAAACCGCTCGGCGACCGGGGGCCCATTCTCAACTACTAGACCAGTCCCCTACACCCCTGGAACTAGCTACACGGACCCCCTCAGTCAAGCACCTGCTACAACTTCAGCGGACCTCGTCTCTCACTCCCTCGGCCCCAGTCCTGGTCCCGCAACAGCCAGCACCACCGACTCCTCCACCGAACCCTGGGCTCAGTATCCACCTCCACCGCGCCAGTTCTACCCTACGTTCAACTCGGGGTACCAAGATGTGCAGGGGTATACTGACCCGAGTGGGAATGGGGTGGTTATGCCTGGGGGGCCGATTCAGGGATTCTTTGTTCCGGAGTTGGGGGTGCAGATGGGATTTGATCCGGAGAATTTGGTTGCGTTGGGGAATATGTTGGGAGATGGGTTCTTGAATTTCCCCTTTCAGACGGATGGGGGAATGGGGTTCTATTGATGTATGTACGGGGTTATAGGCTGTGGGTGCTTTGAATACCCGCTTTTGGTTATATGTTGATGATATCCCTACTCTTCGGTCCAATATTTTTATTGTTGTGTATTACTCCGGTCAAGTGATGGGTATATATGAACAGGGATGCTGGATCTTGAAGGACACTTCTTTTAGGTACATTGATATATGTCCGGTTCAAGGTTCAGACCTTGTTCTGGTGTGCGTACTTTCCGAATCAGCTCTCAAATCGAAAGGATGTGTTTTCGATAGGGTGAAGGTCAGGTTGGCAATGGGATCATTGGCACCCAAGATCCGCTTTAGAGGCTCAGAAGTTCAACATTAATATTGTTGTAGTAGGTAGGTAAAGTTCGAGTGAAGACACAGTGCCCCACTCAGACCCAGTACACCGTAGCGAACTAGCGAACCAGACACAGCCAAAAGTCTCTGCTCTGATCCACAAAAAATGAAGATAAAAAGTGCAAATGGACCCGAGTTCATTCAGCCGAGGTTTTAAGCGAGGAAGCAACGGCCGTCGCGGATCAGCGCGCCGGGCTACACTGGGTCGCTGGCAGGCTGGCACGGGCTGGATCCGGCCTGCGGACAGCCATTCTCCACCCGCAGATCAAAATTCGTAGCGAGCCACCGGATTATTGAGTAGGAAACGGCGGTCAAGCCTTGCGGGAGGCAGCTGCGCAGAAATGGGAATCATTGGAGCAACTGCAAATCATCCCAACAATATCGAGGCATGGCCGAGTGGACCCTACTGAATAATTTCGACGAACTCAATCCCTCCACCTATCTTACCGCCAGACGCCAATTGTGGCTCAGTTTTTGAACCATAAATGTCCATGGCCAGCCATTCTCAGCCTCGGTTCTTCGCAGAAGGTCTAGCAGGCATGTTTGCGCTAGAGGGTCACGGATCCATGAGCCACCTAAGTAAGCCAATCGATCAGTTAGTGGGTCTCCAAGTTAATTGTGTGTGCCATGACTGGGGAGAAAGGATGGCGTACAAGCACACAGTGCGTGGCATGCCATGATGCGCAGAGATATATCATCGTCAACTGACAGAGCGATTCCAAAGAGGATGCCTAGACTCCGCATCAGGCTTCCCTAAGTAGCCCGAATCAGTTCTACTCAACAACGTATAATTGATGATAACCAACCTCGATCATCTGGATGCCTTGCCGTGGACTAGGAGCCGAGTAAAAGGCCCTGAGTTCTTGCTGCTGGATCAGAGCCTTGGCCATGCAAATATGCTGTACTGCAGTAGCTGAGAGAATTCCTTAATAACCGAGCGGACCAAAACATGAAGAGTCTATCACATACCATGTAGTGACTTGGTGAACCAAACCACGGGAAATGGTCTCCCAATTCTTGGGTCTGCGACCGAGTAATGCAACGGTCGAAAGCTGTCTGGCTTTCCTATATCCCAGGCGTGAATCCTTTGTTTCAGGGCTACCAAACTGATTACCTCGATATGCAGTGATTGGTTGACGCCGTAGCAGTGGTTGATCGTTTCTGCTAGAAGCCAAATGGCCCTATGCGTCCAATCTCGATCTGTTTGGGTCGATGTGTGTTCCCACAAGTGATACAGCCTTTCTCCAAACGGGCTCAGCGTCAATCGCAGGGGTTTCTGATAGGCCAATGCGAACTGGATATCTTGCATCACAAAAACCCAGAACGAAGCTTCCGCAAGCCCACCTGAAGTGGCGCATTCGAGTTGAGAGCTGATATAGACCGAACCGGCTAGGAGATGCCGCTGAAGGTCATTCGATGGGCTATGAGCTGCTGACGTTGTTAGAGGGCTATATCAGATTGTTGAGCTTCTGTCCGACCTCACGTACAGGAAATCTGCTCAAAGAAGCGCAGTATAACGGTCGAGGCAAGAAGTATATCAATACTGATCTCGACCTCCCTATTTTCCAGAAGAGGGAGGAGTATCCCGATGCATCGCTCATGATATTCGTCCGCAGTATTCGGGGGAATGGTATGATTCGTGTGGGAGAGATGACGGGCTGCTATGGCTAGGCATGCGTATAGTAGGAGGGGATTTGCGGGCGCCCGTTCAACCACATCCAATGAGAAATGTCTCTCATGATCGCAAACATCCAACTGTAAACTGACGATTAGCCTCAACTGAAGCGGACCACGATTGGAAGATGGGGTAAGCACCCATGGGCCGAGCGTTTTCCGGAAGTGTCGAAGGAGGAAAGCCTCGTTAAAACTCTTCACTTTCTGTAAGTCGCCAAGTTCATCGAATGCGAAAGGTAGATTGACAGGGTCGAGTTGCTGCACCGGAAAAGATCTGGATGGGGTCGCGTCATTTGGGGAAAGCACAGGATGCAGGGCATGCGACGATGTCGACGCTGCCATGGAGGCCAAGGACCGACGTTTGGATGCGGGCTTCCTGGAAACTGCGGAGGCGTTTACTGGAATGACGTGATAGTCGGCGGCTGTACGGTCTGTTTCGTCTTCGAAGGAAACTGTAACGCAGTCATTAGTGCGATGTCCCAGGCTTTCAATAGCAGAGGACAAACCATGAGCAGGCATCCCGACCCATACCTGATCGGTGGGAAATGCGAGATCGCTCTCGCCGTAACGGGGAGGGCCCCTTGGCCGCAGTGACGGGTTCTGACCGTGTCGAAATGTGACCACTTCTGTCTTCGTAGGTGCCGGGATACACTGTCGCCCCGATCGCTGGCATCGCAAGCACGAGGACCCAGTCTTGTCACCTAGATTCCACTATTAGAGGCTCTGGTCCAGAGAACCGCTACCTTCCGTTCGGCGGATGGTCGTCGGAGGGAAGACACGTTACATTTGAGATGGCGTTGACGGCAGGTGAGACTAGAAATAAACGGTTGCATTAGCTTGGTCGAGAATCTGCGGCAGCATGCTGTATGCCGCCCAGGTGGCATGACAAGAGACTGGGCGAGAAGCGCAAGAAGACTGCCACTTACCATCCCCTCATCACGATGTTCTCAGGTCGGTCCTCGGCAGGCAGTCGTAATAGCAGCCATGGAGGGGCGAAGACATCAACGGCAGGATGCAGCCATTGATGCACGATGATAAAGAGGAAGAAAAAGAAGAGGAAGAAGGGGAGCAGCCAGAACGCGCGCCGACCACAGCACTGCAGCTAAGAAGCGACCGCCTGGGGGAGGGTGATTATGATGGGCAGAACAATGGACAACGGTGAAATCATCAATGCCCAAAGGAGGATGGTTCATGCGGAGTGGGGAGCCGGCGTGATGGCCTTGGACCCCAAGCAAATAAGGATTGGAGGAGCGAGGAAAAGGGAAAAGGAACCCTATACAGAAAGAGTCCGGCTCCGAGTCGATCTCTTCCTTAGCGTGAACACCAGAGCCCAGGTTCAAAGTCGCTCCAGGTTTCAGCCTTCAGGGGCCCAAACCGGACCCAAAGCATATTCGGTCACAACCACCAAACGGCCCTCATCCGCACCCGCCACCGCGCGCCCGTGTTATTTCCTTGATACAATATTGGGGGGGGGGGGTTTAGCCAGGGTTCGGGAAATGAAGCCTTCTCGAATTGTCGCTACTTCCTCCCCGACAAGCGCATGGCGATTGACACGCCCGCCTCTGATCACTGCCCGAAGCAGAAAATCCTCACGAGCTAAATGGGAAGCCCACCAGCGCCGGAACGTTTCGGTTCAAGCTAGCCTAGCGAGAAGCAATTCGGCACTTTTAATTGCACCTTTCCATTAGCTGTAGTTTCATCCAACATTCTGCTACAAGTGACCTGCTGAAACTTGGAGGAGCCCTCAGCGTGACCGACTTTGGTGTGTCAGCCGTGCATCGTGCCTGTGGGTTCAAGCCAAAACAAGTCAGCCACCGAGGCCTGAGAATCGATCATACTAGCCTGCCTGCTGGTTGTTAGTTAACGTCTTGAATACATCGACATTGTCCTTTAATGTCCATTCGACAGAGGCTCACTGCTGCTTCCATGCACCCCTGCCAGCCGACGGGTCTAGATTATGACCGCCAGCATCACTGAGGAAGAACATGAAGCCCCTGGTCGAACCTGTCTTTGTAGCATGCAAATTCTGGGTGGCACCCCCCTGTTTTCCAGCGAATGGTTTTGTTTTTCACATCACCAAGAAAGGTCTCCCGCAGCCCCAGCCTCCGGCAGGTCCGTGAACGCTGTTCTCCGCTTGAAAAGGTTGTGGTATATCGGCAACTGCCAATCAGGAAGGCCGGAGTTTTTTCAGGACAGGATTACTAGACGGGGAAAGCCAGCGACAGCTCATCACTCGGCCTGAGATGCGCTCAGTGGCTCTTCAACCCATTGAACATGCAGTCTGCTTGTGTAAAGCCATTGCAGCGGTTCGTTGTAATGATGTATGATCTAGCAGCAGAGACCTCTTAATAAGGCATGCATTCGACGGAATAGTTGAGCCCGCGGTAGAATCTCGTTCCTAGTGTATTTTCGTGTTGTGGCTATCCCGCGAGCACCGAGGGCAGTATGCCGCTACTAAACCCGAACGAGACGGTTCAGGCCAATGACATGGGCTGCATGCAACCTTCGGCACAGCTGCAGCATCTCTGGAAGCTGCTGAAAGGCTAATGGCTGGGGGGGCTAGTAGATCATAGAGCTACGTGAGCCAATTGACATTTTGGTCGGGCGCGAGTCGATCGGGTTGGAGTAAGTCAGTCAGTCAGTCAGTCAGTCGGTAGTAGTAAGTCATCATCGGGGAAGCGGATAAGCGGAGAAGCACGGAGGGAGGGAAAGGGAGAAAAGCGAGGAAAGCGAGGAAAGCGAGAAAATGCAAGAGGAGGTGAAGCCGAGCAAATGCTAAATAGAGTTCGTTGAAAAAGAGGGAGAGGAAAAAACACACTCTTGGAACTAGTTTGGAACTTGGAAGGAAGGAGGGAACTTGACCGAGCCGAAAGCAGCAGGCGCGGGGAAAGCAGCAGTCAGGTGACGGCCACTCGCGCCGCCGCTTCTTTGCCGCCCGCCAGAAAACCCCGGATCGGCGTGCAATCAACGACCGTCCTTCGTGCGCCTAATGCAATTGATCTTCCGCGGCCGCCAGGGATTTCCGTTGCACACGCTCTCCGCCCTACCAGCGATCATACGAACTGCTCCTTTGGCTCCTGAAGCTTCTCCGCCCATCCCCTCTGATCTACGGGCCGAAAACGGGTCTGACTCCACAGCCAACCAGACATTGTCATAGCTTGTCCGTTGCGATTACGACCAGGCGTATATCTACGAAAGCTCGTTGGTCGAGAATCACGGGGTAGGGATCTTTGCGAGGTACCCAGCTGAAGAAACTCCCATTTTATGTCGGCATGTCTAACTTCCCAGTACTTACATAGAATGTCCCTCAATCGTGTCTCCTATCTGGAGTCGTGGGAACAAAACCCCGCCGCATTCCGCCGCCAACCGCGTCCAGAGGACTCCGAGGATGAAGATGGATATCATGATCTCCCGGAGACTTCACTGTCATCGTCCTTCCAATCAACTATCAGCCGTCGTTCCTTCCGACAGCGCTTAAACTTCAACCCATACGCTGGGCCCGGGTGGAGCGAGGTGTCCGGAGATGAGGCCGATAGACACACTCTTCTCAGGGCTGCCTCACCAAGGCGCAGCCGGGCCGACGAAGTCGAAACCGAACAGCCTCCAGAAAACCATGTTGCCCTGAAAACACAAGACTATGAGAGTCTGGAGACGACAGGGGCATTTGAGGTTGAACGCACAAAGCGAATCTGTGGGTTGCCCCATCGGCCACAGGCAGCAGGGATCCTCCGACCTGAAGCAGCGCTGACATTCGTAAAGTGCAGGTGTGTATCGCAGTCATATATTGCTTTTTTGCGGCGGGGATAGTCTTCGGTTTTGCAGCCATCAAGCCCGTCCTGATCAAAGAAGGTGTCTACCGCAACCAGTGCTCGCAGGAAGAGCTCGAGAGTGGTTCGGACGTATGCTACGGACAGGAACTACGGTGCGTCAAGTGGCTCTGATCTACAAACAAGCAGCTGGCTAACAGGCCCTCCAGGCTGAATTTGATGTTCACGATAGCGGCCGTTGCCACCAATGTATCCGCCTTGCCCGTAGGGACAATCCTGGACACCTACGGCCCACGAGCGTGTGGCGTCATTGGCAGTATCTGTTTGACGCTGGGAAGCCTCCTATTCGGACTTGCCCCTAAGCTCCCAGTCGATGCTTACCTCCCAGGATATCTCTTTCTGTCTCTTGGAGGTCCCTTCGTCTTCATTCCGTCATTCCACCTGTCAAACACCTTCCCAGCCCGCTCGGGTCTTATCCTATCCACCCTAACGGGTGCGTTCGACGCCTCCAGTGCTCTCTTCCTCATCTTCCGTGTAGTGAACGAAAAGACAGACGGTGTCTTCACCTCGTCACGATTTTTCCTTCTTTACCTCATTGTCCCAATCTTCATTTTGGTCGCTCAGCTAACGATCATGCCGACAACATCCTACAAGACCGCCGGCGAGCTTGTCCGGGAAGTTCAAGCCCACATCGCCGCAGAGGCAACCGATCAGATCGACGAGGGTCTTAATGATCGCCATGAAAGTGAACGGCAACGCAATGACCGCCGCCTCCACCGGCAAACGGTCATCAACCAAATTGAAGATCTGCTATCCGCCGAGCAGCACCAGCAGCCACAGCCAGAGCCAGAACCGGCCAAGCCTACGAACCCCCACACTGCCGGCGGCGTTTGGGGTGCCCTGCACGGCCTCTCAGCCTTGCGTCAGATCCGTACCCCCTGGTTTATTCTTATCACTCTTTTCACGATCCTTCAAATGCTTCGAATCAACTACTTCGTCGCCACCATTCGCCAGCAATATACCTACCTCCTGGACTCGCCCGCCCTCGCACAAACCCTCAACTCGACCTTCGACGTCTTCCTTCCGCTAGGCGGCCTGATCTCGGTTCCCTTCATCGGCACGATCCTCGACAACGCAAGTACGCCATTCGTGCTGGGAACCCTCGTCACCACGGCCACCCTCATCGGAATCCTAGGCTGTATCCCAAGCATGATAGCGGGATATGCCAACATCGTTCTTTTCGTCATCTACCGCCCCTTCTACTATACCTCGGTTTCTGACTACGCCGCCAAGGTCTTTGGCTTCCAGACCTTTGGCAAAGTATACGGACTCATCATCTGTCTCGCCGGGTTCGGGAACTTCGCCCAGGCCGGCCTCGATGCCCTGACGTTCCGTGTATTTGACAGAAACCCCACCCCAATCAATGCATTCCTCACCGGCACCACGTTCCTCGTTGGGGTGGTAATGGTAGTGTACGTATTCTGGGAGGCAGGGAAAATGGCCGCCGCCTCAAAAGCCAACGAAAACGGCGTCGACGCGACCATCGCTGAGAATGGACTCAGCGTGCCCCGGTTGCACGACGGAATCGATTCCCGGGACTGGGCACTCGGTCGGGAAGGGGAACGCGCGCCGCTACTACAAGCCGCCGGAGGCGGTAGACATGGTGATGCGTCTTCGTATGGGATTTCTGGTCCTTAGGAGACGCTTGTCTTGCCTTCCTCCTTTTTCTTCCCCCCCCTCCCAATTCTTACCATTTGGATAGTCAGGGTAGGTTGTATACCTAGTTATACTTTCTCGTCATTCGTTTGTAGATAGATGTATTGGAGAGATGGATCGATGGATGGATCCATGAAGCATTATATAGTAGTTAGTTTAGGCCGACGAATGTTGAATATGATGAAATGATTGATGGGTGCTTGGTTCTCATCCCCACCAGCCTTTGCAAGGTATTGGTTTATATAGAATTTGTCGTAGTTACACACAGGTCTAATATACTGTAGATACCCAGCGGGAAATCCGCCAGCCCCTGCATCACATCATCCGGTGCATCATAACCTCGTAATTCATATCCTATCCAGGTTCCGGGGGACCACGTGGCATGTGGTATATTAGATTAGAGAGACGAAAGATAATTCTTGCCAGGAGATGTCGTATTATAGCGGCGAGAGTTCCTCCATTTTGATGAGGGATTGCTTCACTTCAGCCCAGAGGTCGCTGCCTGCTCGGTCGCAGGCCCGGTCGTACCAGAGCATTAGGCCGAGGAGTTTGCGGGCGTCGGACCACGAGCCAATCCCGTGGCTGGCGGCGGCTTGGCTAAGGACGTGCACGAACCAGGATCGCTCGGGTTGATCATCTGCGGCAATGCCGCCAAGCATGAGGACCCAGAAGAGGGCGATTCGGGCCTGCGGGTGGTTCCATGTTGATGCCAGATCGGAGATTTGGAGAACGTTTTGGATAAGTTTGGCGAGTTGGGCCAGAGGGGTGCTCTGTGCGGGCAGCGGGAAGACGACGCCAACGCCGAAAATGAGGGCGGCGATGCGGCAGGCCTCGTAAATGATTTCATGAGGTTGGTAGGCGGCGAAGCCGTCCAGTTGACTGGCGGCCGGTAGGGAAAGGAGGGTGTAGTGGGTCAGGTTGCGTTGGTCTGAGATGAGAGAATAATCGGGGTTGACTAAGTGGGCTTTCAGATGTTCCTCGACGATTTTCGTGTAGATGTACATGGCGTATATGACCTCCACTAGATCGGAGGTGAGACCGATGTCTCGGAGGGGGGCGTATCGGCGCTCAATATCTACGGGCGCGAACCCTAGCATTTTCTGCAGGCTAAGGCCCAGCCGCTCTCTGTGGAGGGGCATAAAGGGGAACACTGGGGGCATAAGGAAGGTGCTGCATGTCACAATGTCCGAGCTAGAATAGGGACAGGGTCGTCAGCCATCAGGAGCGGTGGTGTTTTAGGACAAGTACGAGCAACTTACAAAGACAGGGTTGCGGCTAGCCCAGGCAGAGTCAAGTTCTGAATGCCGCCCCGCAATCGTACCATCTGCACCAGACCTTTAATATGGACCAGATTCGGTGGAAGGGCGCCGTAGATATCGAGCCACTGCAAGCGTGGTAGCGGCGCATCAAACGGTGGGGTCAGATGGACTCCCCGTCCATGGTCTTCGGCGACATTATGGGCCATGCAAACTACGCTCAGAATCACTGCATCACACACCGCTCGGTTGGGATTGCTGACTTCCCGAGTCACGTTTTTGATGGTCTCCATTTCACAGTACTGCAAGATCCGCTGCTCTTCCGGCTGGAAGGAGTCCCGTGAAATCCAGCCATTCACCCACCGGAGGCGCTTGTGGGAAAGCGAGCCGAACACGAATGCCGTAAACAAGGTCCGGTCCTCTAAAGCAAGCGGTAACCAGTTGCAGCTGGCTGGCCGCGCCTCTTGGCCGGGAGAGACAGGTGTCAGGCCAGGCCACAATACATAGAGACCTACGGGACGATAAAGGTTAGTTCTCTGAGAGAGCATTTCACTGGGAAAGGTACAAGACGAACAATATTCTTCCGTGGCGGCAACTTCCGTTCTTGCCATATCCATTGGGTTCATATGGAAGGGATCCACGGCGGCACAACCAAAAGTCTCAATAATTTCCGGGGGTGTCGCAGACGAGCGGTCCGGTGGGCTGAGGGATTCGGGGGACGTAGTCCTTGTTGTAGCCTCGCTTTGGTCACAAGGACTTCCTTCAAGGTTCTGTTGCTGGAGCTGCCAGGAAGTCGCGGGGGACAGCTCCATTTCATCCGGATCGAAGTGGAGATGAGGCTCGCCCGCCCAACCCTCGGCAGCGGGCAGACGGTCGGAAAGGCCATAGTCATGGGGAGGCGGAGAAATTGATGAACTATGACGGGCGGACGTTTCGGGGGAGTTGCGTGAGGGAGCAGTCAGAGGGAAGGCAGGAGGCGTCAGAGCGGCAGGGGACGGAGAGCAGTTGGGAGGAGTCAATAAATGATGTCCAATGCCGGGCGGGGCGGGAGGCTGTGGCGGAGAACGACTGGAGGGATCTGGCGTCGAGGGGGACTGGCTGCTTTCCGGAGAGTCCGCGCCGGACGAACGATCCTTGGTCTGGTCGGAGATCCATTTTCCCACGTGGGCGCGGACCAGCCGCTGTATCTTGATCCGTTCGGTCTCTGATGCTGGGCGCGCATTGACAAAGTGGATGGCATCTTTCTTCCGCCCCGCGGTGACGGCTTTGGTTGACGACATATCTTGTTTTCCTTCTTCTTCTTCTTCTTCTTCTTCTTCCACCGCCAAGGGCCGTGGCCCATCAGGAGCACAGGATGCGACGAGGACGGTTGTGCCAAGCAGAAGCCAAGGGTAGCATTCTGTTCCGGAGACGCCAGGCAAGCGAGGGCGGACGGTGGAGGATTGTGCTCAGGAGAAGCAGGAGGCGATGAGGACAGAGGCAATGTGGAATTAGTAGGTCGGGAGGCGGAGGTGGTTTGGCTGGATCAGTGACAGCAGGACGAGCGAGGGGAAGGGAGGAGACACAGAAGCATCGGGCCGAGTCGATGTGATGAGCAGGAAAGTCGATGCAGGTGAATGCAGGTGACTAAGGACGATTGGGGAGGGGGAAGAGCAAGAAACCGATGGATGAAGGAAGAGCAAGGAGGAAGAAGGAAGAAAATAAGGAGGATGAAGAAGGAGAGCGGGAAGCGAAGAGGCAGAAGAAGGGAGTCTGTCGGGATCGTCGCTGGAGCCGCGGAAAGCAGATAACTGCCAAAAAGCAAAACCTCACCATTTGAGGGAACCGGGGACTATCTTTTCGGGGCCTGCAATTACGAAATTTTGGAATTTTTCCAGCGAGACAAGATCGAGGCCGATCCTCGCTCCATTGGGTTGCATCCTGGCCAGGCCAGTCCGGTCCATCGCGATGCCATCGACCTCCCCAACTACTAGTCTCAGTAGCACTCTGATCGATCGTCTCCTGCTGCTGCTTCTGCTTCTGCTTCTTCTCCTCCGTCATCCGTCCTCCGTCCAGTCATTCTTGGTTGTTCCCCTTTGCTTTTTGCCTCCCATTATCAAGACTAGGTGCCCATTTTTTATCCCATTTTTTTTTCTCTCTCTCTCTCGCCCTTTTGACAGCCAGACCGCACTGGCTCTGATCAGCCCATGGATCCGCCCAGCAGCCCCGTCGGTCGATGCGGGGAAATTCCCAGGGAAAGCCCACAAAGCATACCTAGTCGTCCCTATCTATCTGCCATCGGACCAGTCCGGTGCAGACTTGACAGGTCACCTCCCCTCCGTCACTCGGTGTTCGCCGTTTCCTGCTTCTGGGTAGTCCCCGAACCCAACGGACCAGAAGCTATTGGAATGGGATGCGACAGATGGCCCTAGTCGTCATCCGCTGCCAAAATTACGGAGTCGCGCGGATAAGTCCCGAGGCAGCTAGTAGCTAGATAGTAGCTAGGTAACTCCAGTGAGTAGGTAGGCTTCCACCCCGTCGTGCGCCATCACATTAAGGTTATTGCTCTGCTCGCCTCGCCCATGGGTGCCGGATTGCTGATGATTGGTGGGGTTGGCTTCCTCTCCGCGGTCGGAAGCCTACCATCACATGAAGACCCGGGCTGTGACGTACTCCGACCAGAGTTCCTGTCCCTGGGGAAGACACCGCGACTCGGTTGAGGTTGCGAGCTGGAGGGTTACGCCGCAGCTGGCTTGCTTCCCATGGTCCCCATCAAGCCACGCGTTACTGGCTTACTCTGCTGTGACAAGGGGGTGCCATGGTTCGTCAATGCATGTGGGATGTATATCTATCGAGAATAACATGAAGACGTAACACTTCGTTCGTTAAGTCTTAGAGACCCTAGTCAAGCTCAATCAATGGGTATTTTCCTCCCTCCCCAGTCACCGGGTCCTGGTACTGCTCCAAGGCCTCCTCAACGGCCGCCATGTACCCAAGCACCTTCTCCTCCTGCCATCTCCGTCCAACCACCTGGACAGCCGTGGGCAGTCCCGCCATCTTGGCCGCGTCGTAATGCTTCCATGCACCTCGTGCGACAGCGTTGCTCGCCCCGAGCTGCTTCAGTACCGTCTTATACGGGCCGGAAAGTGCATCCTTCTTAGCATCCACGTGGGAGACAGGCAGAACACCCGCCGTGTAATCCAGCAAGTTCCAGAGGAACGTGTAGCCGCACGATGACACCGCATCGTGCATGGCCTTGTGTGGGAGAGCCGGGGTCGCGTTGACGGGGCATAGAATAAAATCATACTGCTGCGCTTCAGCATCCCACCAGCTGTGCCAAGTGGCCCGGAAGGCTTCGCGCTGCGCGGTCAGTTTCCAGAGCTCTGCTGCAGACTTGGGCGCAAAGCCGCGGATCAGAGTTGCCCACTTGACGTCACGTCGGATGTACCGCACCCAAAGGTAGTAGAGATAGCGCAGGGGACGCGGGAGATTAGAAATTCGGGTCAGCTGGTCTGCGCCGGGGTCGGAGGGCTCAAAGCTGTGGAGGTGAGAGTTAAACGTGACACAGCCGTCGGAGTTAAGCAGCTGGGAGGCAAGGTTGAGACCAGTGAACGTGTCAGCCGTAGCGGGTGGTGTGATCTCAGACACGGTATGTCCAGCGGCGGTGAGGGCAGCCACCGTGGTGGAGATAGCACGTTCGATGGCCGGAGTTGGGGGGACGACACCTAACGAAGGTCAAATATGTCCAAACAGCACCATCATATCGCCCCACTCAGAATACTTACCATCGTTAGTCATAAGCCCGATCCTCAGTGTCCTACTCTTGGCTTCGAGCTCCTCCTCCTCCCTCCAGGAGATCGGATGGACGGTGTGGTCGTATTTCCAAGGCTGCATACCGACAATGGCTTTGGTGAAGTAGGTAAGATCGTTCAATGTACGAGCCATAGGGCTGAAGACACTGGCAACACCTTCTTGGCCAGCCATGCTAGTGTTGACTCCAACCTTTGGCCAACGGCCAGTGCTGCAGCGCAGGGAGTAGATACCACTCCAGGCAGCGGGGACACGAACGGAGCCGGCGACATCAGACCCGATACCAATGCGACCACCGAGAGCCAAAAGAGCACCTTCACCACCAGTCGAACCACCAGGAGAGTATTCCGGAACATGCGGGTTGCGGCAGTGACCCCAAAGAGCGTTTGCCGACTCGAACGACAGAAGTGTTACGGGCAGCGCTGTCTTCGCATATGGGACCGCACCTAATGGAGCTCATTAGCACAGGCAATTTTTTCCCGCGTGACATGGGAATCTACCAGCATCCTTCAGTAGCCTTGCCATAGGACCATCCTCCTTGTATGGCTTACACGCAAGCTTAGTATATCCTAGCGTAATGTCGAAGCCTTTGACTTGCACAGAGTCCTTTAGAGAGATGGGCACACCCGCAAGGGGGCCTTTGAGATTGACTTCCGATTGGACCCATGATTCGGCCTCGGGAAGAAGAAGCTCGGTCACACAGTTGGTCTTCTCGTGGGCCTTGACCGCTACCTTGCCGTAGGTGCGGAGGACATCGATGGGCGCCAGGGCGTCATTCTGGACTTCGTACACCAAGTCCTCGATGGGTTTATTAATGATAACCTTATCGACCGCCGAGAAAGGCGCATGATAGTCCGGAGAAAGCGAAGCAAATCGTGCCGCCCGTTCCCTCCTCTTGAGGTCCCTATGAACTGTCGGTCAGCCACCACGAGCGCAGCAAGCGAGCATCGGGGCTATTGGCCTACCGGATGCGACGGTACGTAAAGTAATCAAAAGGAGGAAGCATCGTGCCACTACCTAAGGAACTAGGAGCGATAGAAAGAGAGAAACTTCCACGCAGAGGAAGTGTCCGCCGGCAAAGCAGGGGCGGTGCCTGCCTTTTATTGCGGGGGAGCACAGCACGTGCGGAGAACCCCGATAAGCCGGACCCGCTGATAAGCGTGGAGCCTTGGCCAGATAAATACGAGAGAAAGAGAGAGAGAGAGACAGAGAGAGAGCTGCTCAGCAGTCATGGCCATGTCGGGGCATACCAGCACTTTAATTCCTAGGTTGTTTTCTAGCAGGCTACATATTCTTCTGTTTGTCCGGCAGATCTTTTAGGTACCTAGAGCCCCTTTGGATGTGTCTTTCCCTGACAGCGGAATCACATAGGTACCACACGTGACTGATAAGAATGCCGACAACCGGCTACGGGTCTACCCCATTGGGTAGGTCCATGCGGATAGCTGCCTCTCTACGCCATGGCTTATCTTGTTTGACTACCAAAGCAGATTGTAAGCGACCCGCTTGTCATTTGAGTAAAAAAGGTCGGCTATCGTAATGTCGGGTCTGTCGATTGCTGACTCTCGGCCAAAAATTGGCCCTGGGATAACCACAGTGGCTCTGATCTTTGATGTCTCGTCATAGGCATCATGAATGTCATAGTTGCGGAACTCGAAAAATCTCACTCATATTTACCCCCGGCATCGCCTGTTACATACCAGAAGCTGGCATCTAGAAGCGGGTGTTTTATCTGATAGTCAACATTGAACGCCGTGAAAGAAAAGATTAAAATTCATAGACGAGACCTGCTCGTCCATATCCAGCCCGGACGCCGATATTCACAGAGGTCTTGGCCTGTCCAGGTCCGATCATCTTCTACCCAAGACCGGTTTTTTCTGTCGCGGGGAGGTCCAATAATGCTCTCCGTCTTGACACAATTACAGTATGATGCCCACAGCGGAGATCAGATGCTCGACAATGCAATCATCAATCATAGATCACAGATTGTCAAAAGTTCATCAAGTGAAGCAACAAGATGTTGGTATTTCGTATTCGTCCATGAAGCCGACAATTCTCGGTCCCCTCAAATCTGATCCGATTGATCTGGTAGTGTCTGAAGCCAGTTGCGAGATTTGAGCCACAGGATGACGACCACAATAGCGGCGGCAAACAGCGCTATTATGAGAAAGATCAAGAAACCGCAGATGAAGGTTCGCCTTTTCTTCTGACGTTGGCTCTGAATCCAGGTATCTCTACATCACGAGTTCCAAATGATCAGCCAGATGGTCATAACCGTGCAGAAAGGATCATCTCCAAGGATTTGTACATACGACCAGATGGAGGGTTTTCTTTGATCTGTGCCGGCCTTCGCCTCTTCGTCGAGGTGAATAGCGGCGGAGAAGCGTTTCCAGAACGCCGGGTCCCGGACAAGAGCCATCTCACGCTATTTACTAGTTGCGAGACATGGAGGACGGTTTCTCGTATGTGCAGGGTCGGGGGTTTGTATTGTATTGATTGGCGGCGGCCGTGCTGAGGCTCAACCTCCAAGGTGGGGTGCAAGTTCTCTAGGAATACCAACAAGACTATGACTATAACTGGAGATAGGGCACTTTTGCCTCCAGATGGAGTTCAGGTGGAAGATAGTGGAACAACGGTTGGATAATTCTAATACCAATGGTATCGAGAGAGAAAGAGGACAGAGAAAAGACCGAGGGATATCAGTTGGGAGCCCACGCGCACATAAGATGACAGAAAGATAAGTTACCTGAGAAGAGGAAGGGACGAACGACGGCATTATTGTGCCAATTCAGTAGCCTGGGACGCTGGTGACTTGCAATGCTGTTGTATAGGGCCCCGAATTCCCTACGGCGCGGCGGGAATGACTGGACCGGTCCAGGGTCTGTGCGGAATCCGGATCGGCATCCTTTGGGCCAATCAGAGGCTCCAGAATTTGACAAGCCCCGCCAAATATCCAATCAGAGGGTAAGATACGGCCCATGGTTCGATTCAGTAAGGTACGCGTCATGCCGGCCGGCTGGATCTGGCCAGGAACAACATGGTGGCCAAGTATTTACCAACAAACAAACTGCAATCGGGGCGGCCTTCTTCAGACTGGGGCTGAGGGGCTGATGAAGGTGCCAGAAGCGTGCGAAGTATGCAGCCAAGTCTGAACTAAGAAATTGTGGTTGTCCCGGTGGTCTGAGGGAATTTGCGCAGCATACTTTCCGAGATTGGGGAAACCTTGAGTTTGGATGTGTACCAGTACCACCTGGGAACTTGACAGATCGATCGAGGATCTTGCGATGTGAAGCGTCTGTGGTACAAGCTACAGGCACGTACATCATACTACATGACCTCAGGGTTGTGTCCGATTAAGTGTGTCATTCCTGATGGATGCAGCTGTCACGTACCTGCATGTCCAGTACCACCGGGCTGGTATCTATCTTACTGTGAACTACCGCCGTGGTATGTACTGCCGACCCTGGTGACTATGCATTGAAGAACAGTCGACTTAATGGGTTCTGGAGCATGAACGATAGTAGCAAACCCCAATAGACAACTGGCCCAATGGATTGAGTTAATTGGTTACATGGTCGGTGGGGTTTCGTGTTGGGAGGAGAGCCTGCCGATATATACACATATATACATCCGGAATGCCTCTACTGTCTTCCTCACTACTTAGTAGTAGTAAGTACTTCATCCAACCCGTTTCAAAGTTTCCCCTCCTTGGTTTTGGTTCCCGAGATCATCTGCAACCACCACCACCACCAAATGTCTCCCTAACGCGCATCGGGTGACACAGTGACTGCGAGTCACCAGCGGGGCTGTCACGTTGGCACCCAAACAGGCCTTGTGCAGGGCTTGTCTTGTCTGCCTTTCGCGTCAAGCGCCAGATTGCTCCGATCCTCGTCTGATTCGATTCCGGCAGACGTGCAGATGAGGCGGATTGAGTTGTCTGTCCAGCTTGCCAGCAAACGGCCTTTAAGTAGTCCTTTTGGGCTCCCCCGCAGTGGAGCTACACGGATGGGTGCCTGACCGCCGGCGGTAGCGTTGTGCTTGAGCGTGACTGGCCACACGGACTTGACTGCAGGCCTGGCCTAGGCAGATCGTGAGGTGCTGCTGCTGCACCCGCCGACCGAACCGACAGACAGCCTCGTTCTCCTCATTCCTCTTTCTTCAACTCCTCCAGCTCCATTGATGCAACCTCCATTGTCGCTGCTATCAAATGTCGTTGTCCCGGGCCCCATTCTAGCCTGGCCATGTTTTCCGCCCATGATCAGGGCCCGAGTTACTGGGGAGTGTTGATCAATGCCGACAAGAGTCCTGCCCCGCTGCTAGAGCAGCTGTGTCTGGAGATTGCTCGCATCATAGTAAGTCGGAATCGGTGGAGCTCCGTGCAATGGTGCACAATATTTGAATTAGAGCACATCCTGAATCCTCTCTTCCCAAGACATCATTCGATGACTATGCGACAAGCGACCTCACCCCAGAACGATTGGCCGCGTTTTACCGCAAGGTTGGCGGTAATTACGATGTCCTTTTCCTCCAGACCAAACCATCCGCACTCTCCTTCATCTATCAACGTCTAGGATGCTTCCATAGTATCCAACCGACCTCCGATCCTTACAAACCCCCGGCTATTCCGGCTCTACAACCCAACGGCTTCGTGCGATGGCAGACAATCCAGTTGCTCCTCGACCCGGACGAGCATTGTCGGTACCTCCAGAATGCGGTCGAGCTATGGGACATCGAGACTCCGAGCGGCGAAATCTTTCCCAAACAGATACCTCGAGAGGCCTTCCCCGAAACACCGGACCTAGAAATGGTCGAATGGCATGAGGCAGTTAGCCGACGGTTTGAACTGGACTATGTCAAAAGGAACATCCCGCGCGTATCTCCACCAAATTTCGGCACATACCACTACTATTTTGCCCATAAAGATGCTCCTTCTACCAAGGAAGAGACCAGTCTACCCGCCCGTCGTCGAACGATGGCACACCGCGCCCCCGTGGTTCCAGAGGAGCCATCACCTCCCAGCAGACATCAAAGACGCCGAAGTGGCGAGTTCTCACCGTCGGCCACCCGTCGAGTCCAGTCCACGTACTTCCCACGCCCACCAGAAGTCGAGACGTCCCATCGAGCCCCTTCGCCGCCGATGTGGACCAAGCCTTCCCCCACGATGAGAGGTCGCGACCGTGGTTCGACGTTTTCACGTCCCGTGAGCCCAGGCGCATTACCGGGACACAGCGCATCTGATGCATCGTCCGAGGACTCCGGAGAAGCAGCACGCGACGCATCCCCGTCTGGAAATCGACACAGCCGTCATCTGCACCCGTCTACTCCACACTACTCCCACTCTCGCCGTCATTCACACGAATCATACGCTAGGAAACCCCAACGGGAACTCTCTCCAGGCACCCAGCAACGGTATGCCTACCGGGACATGTATAATACCCCCTCAACCAGACCATACGACTCAGATGGTGCTCGGCGCACACGGCCATCAAGGGCATACGCAGATGAGCCGGTCCATCCCCGGACTCCGGGGCCCAGCTTCCGCGACCACGCCTTCCGCGACCCTTCTGCTGTTCCGGTCAACGCTGAAGTGCCGGTATATACGCACAGGCACCCTCGCTACATGAACATGAACAATGCCTACGTCGTCCGCCCTCCTCCCGACATTGATGTGTGCGCGGTAGACGACTCCAGACGAAGTTACCGAGGGCCCACTGCTAAGTCCAACGCGCCTGTATTCAACAACCCCACAATTCCAGAGCGCACTCGATACCCCTCAGGCGGCTACCGATCCCAGAGATGGGCCAATCCGGTACAGCCATCGCCATCCCGAGGAATCCCAGCAGGTGTACCGGACATGGAATATGCTCTGCGAAGCAGACGGTCGACCATGTATGACCGGTGAGAAATCACGACAGCACAAATATCCAAGTTCCGCAACAAGCCAAACACCATCCCATCTCCAATAAGAATGATGACCATAACTAATGACTTATTGAATTAACGACCGTTTTCCGGTTCTATTTTTCTTCTCTCTCTCTGTCTTTCTTCTTCTTCTTTCTTTTTGCGCATTCTCGCGGACCACAGTACTACCACACATTGATAACGACAGTAGGGATGGTTATTGTGATGACCGGCGTTCTGCGTGGGCGGTTATCTGAATGGTCACAAGCTATTTGAAAGAACACGATGACCGATGAACTGATCAGCCAGCTATATGTTATGATTAACGACTCACGAGAGTTTAGAAAGTTAGACCCCGCACTGGCTTTTCTTTTCTTTTCTTTTCTTTTCTCTTTTTAATTTTTACCCCTGAGCTCTTTACATCAGCTAGTTCACGCTGTCTACGATCTTAGGAATGAAAATCTCTTCTTCCAACCCAGTTTCAATACCTATTTTACCGTCACCGATGGCTACGTACTACCTAGCGAGTGGACTCCGTCACCGAGCGGATTAGATAGCAATGATACCTGATTTGATCCCCTACCGATAGGACATGACCTATAGTCACATGCTTAATAAATACTACCACAATTCTACTGCTATGTAGATATGGAGTAGATCGATTGACAAATAGATAATAGATAATAGATATTAATAATGTGGTATGTTGGTTATCTGCCTGGTGGGACTTGAAAGAAGACATGGCTATTTTTAGGATGCATGGTTCGAAGCGAGTATGATGTATAGCTTGTGGCTTGGTTGGGTCATTCTACATGTTCGAAGTGTGTCGGAAATAAAAACGAGGGAGTGCGAATTTGTCAAGGAGGAGGTATGTGCAGTGTGCATCTCATCCCGTTCCATTCCATTCCATTCTGGCAAGGGAAGTTAAGCATTTGACAATTGGCGGGATGAATCGACATTCTTTGGTACTTATGCATTCTTGGTTCTTCAAGAAGTGGATTATTAGTGTAGGATAAGATCTAGACTGGAGGCTGAGACCGGTAGCTAGCTATCTACGCTAACCATCCATATATACACTCCCCTATTCTCTCTTCATCAGAGCAATCTTCTGTATCTACCACTCTCAGATAGTAAGATTGGCTCTTTGGAAACCAAACCCAAAGTCCTCGAATACGGCACACTTCTCCGTGATATCTGGGTTCATTACAGCCGATGGTGGCATATCCAGAAGACTGACGTTTCGCTCCGCTACTTCATATTCGGACATGTAGTATCCGCGAGGCCCAAAGATCTGGTATGTCGATGCATACGCGGGACCACGGAGCTTCAGCATCTTCAGATCCGGGTTCGGATTCCTGGTGCGGAAGAATGAGCCGAAGATATCGTTAAGGAGTTGGGAGTGTAGGATATCTCGTTGGTTGTAGTATGGGGATACATTCTTGGTCTTGCTGTTGAGGGTACTCCAGTCGAGGAGAACATCTGAAGCATGGCACGTGGCGTTGTAATCGACGTTGGGGGAGCAGATGCTGGGGACGTCGACAGTGGTTTGGATGTGGCCATGTCTGATTTCGAGTTCCCAAAGGCGCGGGAAAATGTGGCGGCCGCCATTGCGGAGGAGGTAGGCTTGTGGGCAACTCCATTCGCTGTGGGTAAGAGCGTCAGCGACGGTGTTCCGGACGCTGTCAGGGTCGGACGAATTCAGAGGGAAGGCGTTGGTTGCGAGGAGGGATTTAATGAGGGAGGTGGGGTAGGCGTAGCTGTAGACGAGCTCAAGGGCGGCCTCCGTTGTACCAACATTCGGGACATAATCGTCTACGTAGAGGGCTGCTTCGTCGGTAACGGTTGTGAAGATGGTTGGAACGCGGTTGGGGAGCTTGTTCGAGGCGAGAAGACGGTAGAATTGGTCGTCAATGACGCCGCTGCCGGTATCGTCGACTATAGGTATCAGGGGCTCTATAGATGCCAGGATCTCGCTGGAATGGAGATAGTCAGAGGCAATTGTCTCGGTGGAGTCTGTCATGGCAGCTTCGAACTCGGTCGTGTTGTCGAGGTATCGCGTTGCCGGAACAGATCTGAGGCAGGAGACGAGGGCAGTTTCGGACGTGGTTCCGTTGCAACCGACAGCACCAGCGATGTTAGGGATGACAATCTTGGTATATACCTCGCGGGTGAACCAGGGGAGGTCTACCGGGGCTGACTGCACAATGGCACCAGAAAAGAGGCCACGGGCAGCAGTCGAGGAGAGTAGTGCAATAACGCTTTGACCTCCGGCCGACTGACCAAAGATTGTGATGTGGTTTGGGTCTCCACCGAACGCCTCGATGTACTTGTTGACCCATTCCAAGGCCAGAATCTGGTCGCGTGTACCGTAATTTCCAGTCGTGAGGTTGCCCGTGGTCAGCCAGCCTAGCGCACCGACTCGGTAGTTGACCGTCATAACAACAATGTCGTTGCGGCTGGCAAAGTTTCCTCCATCGTAGTCGACCATGGATGCGGTGCCGCTGGTGAACCCGCCACCATAGAAGTATACGGCGACAGGCTTGCGAGCGGGGGTTCTATCACGCGGCGAAGGCAGGACGGGAGAATAGATGTTTAGGTATAGACAGTCCTCCGAGATGCCGCCATTGTCGAGTGTTCCAAAGCCTGAGACCGATTGAATGCACGAATCGGCCATTTTCGTTGCGTCGATGCTTTTGGGGCCTGAATAAGGGCGTGGTGGTGCGAACCGCAAATTCCTCACAGGCGGGTCCGCAAAGGGAACGCCTAGAAACCGAAACGAGCGCCCGTCACGATATCCGGTCATTTGGAAATCATCAAACGAGATTGAGATCTTTGATTTGTTCACAGCTGTCCTGTCTTTGTCAGTGGTAGGATGCACGCTGGAGGTACAAAGGGCAGGCAGTTCTTGATAACATGAAACCGAGATGATTCGTTTAAGACTTTGGGAATATGCCTGGCAATCTTCTGGCGAGGACTTGGCTATCCACAGGGAGCTATTCTCCTGTAAATCCTTTGCATAGACAAGATAGTCTAGCTGGTACTCTAGCTCCGTGGCGTTGGATTGGGGTGCATTTTGGAACGGGTAGAGGGCTTCTCCGATGGAAGCACACCGAACCTGCGCGCTGGAGTACGGTAGTTGATCGTAAACCAAGACTGCAGCGGTGCCATTGTTTGCGGAGCCCAAGTTGTTGTACTTCAGTGCCTGGAGGGTACCTAAAGAAGCGATTCTGGGAGGGTATGTTGCGGCTGCTGGAGGAGCTGGGGCCGCCAAAGCAGGGACGCAGAGAAGCAGGGAAAGAGAGAACAGCTGCATCTTCAGGATTGTTGCCTATTCCAGAAACTGCGGAGGAAGACCAGTGAACAAGACAGCTGCCCTTTTAAAACCCCCATGGGTGCCAAGCGAGAAAGCCGATGAGTTGGGTATCCGGACAAATGGTTGCTCGGAATGGCCGGAAGAGCAAGCCTCAGTGGTTCAGGAGATAGAAACTGCCATAGATGGAGCCCATGACGTCCCAGTCGGCATGGGTGGAAGCTGGGGTGCATTGTAGCGTTCCACCAGCAGAAAACGGCGGAGACTGGGGCACTGATGGTTCCTGAGGAAAGATCGCATCGATCTAGCCGAGAGAGCCATTCATATTGGCTCCCTCGGCAAACCACCCCAAGGACTCGCTTCCTTAGCGCACGGAGGTCAACGGGCGATCGATGATTATGATGATGATTGAATATGGAGAAAGTGGGAACTGGAAAGTTGATGTCGGGATGCAACTGGAAGAGGAAAGAAGAAACGAGAGGAACCCTCGCCCCAGGCACTCAGGCTGCCCCTCTCAAGGTTTCCCCGATCCGGTCTAGTTTGCTTCGAGTGCTCTAGCCCTATGCCCTGATCGCTGCCTGAGGTTTATTGTCAGATCCACCATCAAGTAGAGTGGTATGCGTGATGAACCAGTGTGCTTCTGAAAGGCGATGATCTAAAATAGGAGTGATATAATGATCGTGGGTCATCTGATGTTCATTTCCCTCAGGACTCGATATCTCGGTTGAGAGGGGGGCTGAACTTGAGAATGCCTTCCCGAGCCAACCTACTTCCTTCATTTCGTATCGCGCAGATGGTATTGTTGCAAGGTTGGATTTGGTGGGTTGAATCGCTGAATCATGGTGTCGCGTTCAGCAATCTGGTCGGATTGTAGAAGTTAGCCAGAATCATACCTAGCGGCTATGGAAGTTATCGTTGCGGTGAGAACACTCGGTATAGCTGTATAGCTGGTCCTGCCATGAGTATGCGTGATAGTAAGGGCTCGAACTCGGCCGTGGGTGACTACTCTGTTAGGAACGATCGCGTAATCTTCGGTTCGCATCATTCTCGAGATAAAAGGAGGACCGACTGGAGTAATGGAAGGATGCAGGCTGACCTCCGTGGCTCTTGCTGGTCGGCACTCGGCTTCTCCATAGCAAAAACAGTCCCATCCTGAAACGCCGGCAGTTTGATTTGCGAATGCGACCATTCGTGTTCATCCTCGCAGTCGGCCTTAACATCAAGAATTACGCCTGATTCTTCTTATGTTCACCACTTCACTAGGTATAGATCCGAAGATGCAAGGTATTGGATGCTTCGTGGTTTGATAGAATGACGACAAGGTTTTCTAAGCAGAGTGACGTGTTTCTTTCATGTTTCCGAAGGGAGGCACAACGTGGGTAAACACTCAGAGCAAAAACTGGAATTGCAGTTTTTACTTGGTGGCAGTCGAAGGGATGGATAACTATATAGTATCAAAAGACTATGGTAGGGGAGGTGGTGGGTAAGCCATGTTGAGGATAAGAGGAGAAGGATACTGATTGTAGATTTGTCGAGACGTGCGAGAACAGCTGAATAAAGGAATATGATAAGATCTAGCTAGTAGGTGGTTTGTAGATGCAGGAAAGTGAGGTTGCATGGAAGAAAAAGCCTCAAAGGAATGGGATCAGGTGACCAGGCTGGCTTGTCTATGGACGTAGGATGATTCTGTCAACCAGGGAAATCAGGCAGAAAAGCGACGTGCTAAGACATAGCTTTGGTCTGAAAGTAATGGCATACGTGAAGAATCAAGAAAAGCCAAAAAAAAATGGGGCATGTGTAAATTGAGGCAGTGGGAGACTAGTATCCTGCCAGGAGGTATGGTATATGTGCTAGCCGTTCTTCTCTATATTTCCCAGAAAGAAAAGGCAGAGTAATCTTTAGAAGTGTTATCAGTAACTGATAGTGTCTGTCATGAAAACAGTGTGACTGAGACGGTTACCTGCCGAATAGAAGCTGAACGAGTGTATTATCTGCTATCGTGGTAACGATTAGTTCCCTACGAGTCGTGGTATGCTGCATCCAAGCAGGATTGGGGTTATGATCGTTACAGGAATAAAGAGGATAGACAGTAATACAGTACGTACAAGAAAGGTTGGTATGAAGTGATCGCCCTACCTATCGTGAAGCAGAGGGGCGGATGCCTCAAAAGAGTCACATCGAAGGAAGAGAGGCAAAATTGCAAAAGAGAGATAGTTACAAGAGACGGCCGGCTACAATAGGAAGGTGGATGTCTCCACTTCAGCGGGTAGCGGGAAGCGGATCCAAGTAGATAGTACTATGGACCAAGTAGGTAGATAGTACTACTATAGAGTATAGAGAACGGCCGGGAATGGCCTCACTAACTGCCCGACAAGGCAACAGGGCCAGCAAAATCGATGCCTGTGTACATAGGCCAACAAGATTTCCTTTTTAAGACAACAAATGCGAACAGTTAAGCAAATATGCGTCTAGTTCTCAATGATAACCCAGGGTGACTGAGTGGTTAATACGGCGGAGGGTACCCGCTAACTATACCCGCCGACTATGCCCGCGTAGACAGAACCACGGTGGAAGTCCTGGGTTTGATTCGTACCCTGGTTCCTTGGGCTGCAGACCAAGGACACTGGTTGGATCGTCTGAAAACCCCCCAACCCCCCCCCCTAAGGGGGTTTCGTAGGTCTCCCGGTGGTTGGGCAACCCACCAAGTGACTGAGCTTTTTGCTTCTATAAGTATTGACCAAGGTTGCCTCCTTACTTCTTCTACAAGATGCGATCAAAGACAGACTCAATAAAAGAATCGTGCTTTGGACTGCTGCGGATCTCAACTTGAACGGCGGGATGGGAGGGGTGGCTGCCATGCTGCCTCGCTGCCTCGCTGCCTAAGAATGTCAAAGACGGCAGTAGCAGCAGGAGTGACTCACTCGCTCTTGCCTATGAGACAGACTTTGCATCAAAAGTATGCCCTATGAAGCAATGAATCAATCAATGCCCGTCGATGTCGGACTCAGGCTCGTAGCGGTACGTATATATGCAAACTATGTACGTACATACCTCTTTGGAGATAGGAATCCTGAGGCTGATAGTCCCGGACTTTCTATCTAACCTATGGTAATTGGAAATGTTGATTGACACACATAGTATTTCTTACAGCAAAACAGCAACATACATACATACATATATATGTACAACAACTACTCGGTACGGAACTGCCTCACCTCTCGCTGGTTCACAATCTGCTCCTCGGAAAACCAGTTCCCATGCATCCCATACGGCACTCGCTGAGGCAGGACTACCTTGCAAACCACATCTTTCATCCCCACCGCATCAATGACCCACATCTCACTGTGTGAGTCAGGTGGAGCATCACCATTTTCATCCAGTTGTGACTCGTCGAAGACATATGTAACGAGCCAGCCATCATCTTCGGACTTCCCATCCCCGCGCGGAATAAACGAACACTCCTGAGCATACCACCCCGAGGGGAAGGCAAAAACTTGGATGGGATCGTCACGATTACTTGATGCGAGGATGGTAGCTATTGATCGCTTGTCTACACAGCCATCTACCGGGGACGGAGGGTCAGTTTTCGCCCGCAAAAGAAGATGCTGCACATCCACTTTGACGAGGCAATCGATCTTATAGCTGCTGATGTGGGAGGCGGCAAAGTTCCCCTTCCGCATAGAGCATCCATAGACGAACCGTGTCTGTTTCATCTCAAGGTGCTGGGGTACGCATGGAAATTCGAATGGAATGGCCGATAGTGCCCACTGCTGAGAGATAGATGTGGAGTCGTCGTGGTCTGGCGGAAATTGGTAATAATAGAGACGGCATTGGGGATCTGGCTCGTTCATAGCCCCTGGCGCATTCAGGTTGCCCATATGGTACAATGGGGCGATACTGTTCATGCGACAAAGGAGCATGTTCACCCGTATACCGCTGGGAGTTTCTTCATCCCAGCTATTCACGGTATGCATAACCACACAGGCATCCGTCTTGAACCATCGGATAAGCTCCGGGAAGTGTCGAGGGAACACCCCAAGTCTGGTTTGACCTTGTGGATCGTATTGCACCACTGGTTTACCGTGAAAGAGCTTAAACGGGTCCAGTGAGAGAGGCAGGTCTATGATAAGGGTATGTTGATGCGATACTCCAAAATCGTGCATCATCTTCCCTGAAGTAAGGCCAGGGACGGGTTGATTGAGACAGAGCCCCGGCGTTAGCGAGCTTCTAGCAGGTACAATGGAGTAATTGACGAATGGTGGAATAAACGTTGAGTGGAATAGAAGCAGTTCATTGGTATGGGAATCGACTCTAGGCTGCTCATCGACATTTATCAACAACAGGTTACGTTATCATCGTGCTTTGATACTCACATGAGCTGTGGTCATCTCCTTATAGAATCCTTCTATACCTGGCCCGCCAAAGTACGATTTGGGCCTGTCAGAGACCTCAGACTCCCCTTCGGCCGTGTTGCCAGTAAACCAGCCCACCGTTCTCAGCAGTGGAAGTAACATGCGCATGGGAGGTCCGACCTCATTTGTAGCTAAGACGCGGCCATCATGATGGAAAATGCTAGTATTCGCGCTGCTCACCCTCCTGATAGGCCGGGCAACCAAACCGCAGATAGATGCATATATCAATACCATACTCCGCAAGACCTCGAGCAAAATCCGGAAGGACGACAAGGCAGGATTGGTCAAGGTTGCAACACTAGGCGTGATGGGGCCGAGACGGCGATTTCGCACGGTTGCGCAATAAATGTCCGTTAGAACATATTGGTTGGTAAAGATTGGCTGGACACTGGGTTGCCCCGGAATACGCTTAAAGTACACGCCCGTGAGCATGCCATCGCCGTCAAACCAGTGGAGGTCACGCTGAGCGTCGTGCTGAAGGGGATTGGTGCCATTCCGGACATATTGTCCCCCCAGAAACTCCTCAGGAACGGTGCCCTCAAAGTGGCAAGACTCATCGGCGAGTGTAGTTTGAATAGGGGCAAAGTTGCCCGCAAGGTATCTGGCAGATGGTTAGTTAGCACCGAGAGTGTTCATGGCTAGAAGGTGAGCATACGGGTGTCTTCTTTCTGCTTTTGACATGATGCCATTCGTTGCACTGGAGGAAAATCTCGGTGAGGCAATCGGATTTTGAACTCATATAGATATTTACTGGGGGCTTTCCAGCGTTTAAAACCAGGAAACAGAGGCGCCTGCCTGTAAACACTATAAACACCGACATAGTAAAAATGTCCTGGAACCGGTTCATCGAGCTTTGAGCAGGATCGCGTAACCGTGGGATCCGTAGAACCAGCTCTTATCTATCCTGATCCTACTACTTACACAATAGGGCCTAGGCCTGCGTAAGAACCGTGCCGATCTTCGCTCGCAAGGCCTAGAGCCCGGGGACCAGGTGGCATTCATTCCTCGCGGAATCAAACTCTACGAGCCACAAATCAAGTAGGAATTAAGCATGACTACTAGTAGAGAAGCTGTTGCATCATAAGCCCAGCACCTGGAAACCTTCACCAAAGATCCATGCTCTATCTAGCTGGATTTGGGAAGAGATTACCAGGCCAGGTTTCCGTCCAACAGCATCTGATAGCATATCCAATGGAATGTTTGGAGGAACTGCACTGTCCATGGTTGCCACGCACTGTTCCGCGGAGGCAAAACCTTCCAAGACGGCCGAGAGCTTTAGCCCCCAACGCATCCGGATTTTTGGGGTCAAACAATAGATCGTCATCTACACAGTACTGGGTAGTTGGATAGACCTGCTGTTGTGCATGTTGCGGGAGTAAGAATTGATAACGATCTGCGATGGGTGGGGAAACCGAGCGCCCTTAAGGCCGGTCAGGGCTCTAGAGAGTCTAGGCAGTGCAGGCACCCACTTGGGGCCTCAGACATCCCCACTTGGGGCCTAACGGGAGCCTGGGGAGCCTGGACGGCGGTGGGAGTTTCTGCCGGTTCCGGATATTGTAGTTAAGGGTCTGTTTCTCACAACTTCCAACCGAAGAGCAATCATTCACTATACCATCTTACAGACTACGTACAGACTACGGCATCTATCACATCAATGGCGTCCACACTGACCCTGCCTCAACTGCCCGCAAAACATCGGGACCTACCGAGATGGATACAGAGCCATCCAAAACCGCCTCTCAACCAGATTACTGCACCTTACAATAACTATGACGCCGTGGTGCGTAAGCTGTTTGCCCAGGACCCTTCTCACACAGCTTTGCAGGACAACCATCTCAACATTGTGCCCCTTTACGATTCGAGCGGTCTTACTGATGTCCGCGTTCGGGCTCGGGACTTGGCGTCGGAGCCCTCGACAATGAAGGAACGGTACATCATGCCCTTGAAGGAACAAGACCGGCGACCCAATGGTTCCCCAGCAGTGGTTCCGAGGCTTGATGACTTTTGGAGGAACTTCAACATCTTTTCCGAGGGTGCATTGAGCGACATAGACTGGAGTAATGTGGTCGTCGCAGGAAGCGCAGTGGTCACCTGCCTGCTACCAGTGCCTGAAGAGTACCGTGACTCGAAGCGTGCCATGCTTTGCTCTTCGCCGGCCAAGCGGAAGTGGGAATCCAACCGGTGGAGAATACGGAGTTAAACGTTAAGCTTATCGATAAGTGCCCGAGATAGTGTCAGCATCGTTGAACCAAGTGATGTTTGATCATTTGATGGAATGATCATATTGGAAGTAGGGATGTCACATGACATGACCCTATCTTAGTAGCCGCCCCCTCCTAGCTTCCTGAGGAATCTACAAGCATTTACCATCTCACGTTCCATCGTAGGGCGTCACAAGGCAGGAGATAGTCGCTGGGAAGGAGCGGAAAGGAGAGCCGGTTGTTTGATCGGGATGGCTCAAGGGCGGTGACTATATCAGGCGGTAAGATACTAGTTGGGGACGGCGTTCGCCTTTCCAAACAATTAATTTCTTACAGGAAGTGCTGGGAAATTCCTCTATTTTTGACCAAGAGACAGAAATTCATGATGCTATTGCCAAACAGATTTGGTGTAGATTGAACGCACTTCTCCTTCCCAATATAGACTACAAAGATCGACAAGTCAGTCAGTGTCCACGATCCACGTAGGTGGAGCAATGTGGAGAATGAGTTAGTTTATCTGATACGACTAGTGTCCGAGATCGGTGGATCCATCCTAAAGGCAGACATTACAGGGCAAGCAACATATAACCATTTCCAAAACCATCCGGTACAAAAAGCCAAACCCCCACCCCCATCAGGAGCACATCTTACAGCTCATCACCCCAAAATGGTGACTCCGGCTGGTTACTCTTATAAACCCCCTTCCAAATCAGAGATAATACCTTCTCTCCGGTTATTTCGGGATCTCGCACCACCCCCACACCCAATAAATTCGCATATTCCCACTCCATTGGGAATGATATCCGACTCAATGGGTTATTCGCGTACATGAAAACCATTTGCAGATTCCCGGTCGCGGGGGTTTGATCATCCGCGATATAAAAGACCTTAGTACTGATGGCGCTCCCTACACACGTTCTGGCGAGAAATCCTGCCACGTCAGTTTCTGTCATACCTAGAAATGGGGATATGAATGGTGTTACAGGGTGTTGGGTGGCTGAGTCGGGGGTGAGGTTTTGGATGGCGTGTTTGGAGTCGGTGGATAGGACAACGAGGGAACGTGGGGCGTCTGGCTTCTTGTTGTATGCTTCGGTGAGGAGTTGTGTGAGGAGCTGCGGGGGAGAGACTGTCAGCCTGGAAATGGGGTTGGGTAGGGGTGCGTTTACGCTTGATTGGATTGTTTCGTCGGTGCAGATGATGCTGACGAGGGGGGCTGAGTCATTGGAGGTGGTGGTACGTTTTGTCAATATAGGTAGACTGAGATCAGGAATTTGGGTGGAGGTGGAGGTGGTGGAGGTAAAGGGATCTTTGGTTAATATGGGTAGATTGAGACGAGACATATTGGTGGTGTCTGTTGCTGGTATGTAACTTGGTTGGGACAGGCTGCTATTTATGTAAGTGCAGGGTGTTCGGATGCGAACAAAGCGATCGGAGTGTATCTTGTATTCTGGTAAGTGAATGAGGCTGAATGGGGAGAGATCAGGACAAGTCCATTGTAAGGTAAGGCACTTCCCGTCCTGCTTGGTGGTTGCTTCATTGTGCCGTGGATGGACATCGCTTGGGAAGCACGGGGAGATTCATTCACTTTTCCTGGTAATTCAAGAGTAAAGAAACATGCCGTTTCTCAGTTCTGGGGACCGGAAATACGAGAATTTTTGATAGAATCTGATGGGTTCTGTCTTTGTATTAACTGGCTGATCAGAGAGAGGAATGTGAAACATGAAAACAACATGGAAAAGCCATTTAAAGCATGGTTGACCTACACTCTACCTAGGAGTATCGGAGAGGAACAAGTCTGCTGGTGTAGAACACGCATAATGCCGAGATCGCCTTGCTTATATGATTTCAATGAGAGCATGAATGTGCGAAGAAAGAGAGGTCAACAAAGGCGTGGACAATGCCCGAGTCACCTGACCAACGGCACGTTCCGGGGGATGGGGCTTTACTCGGTGCTGAAATCTCCTGGCAGGTATTAGTTGAACTGATACATGTACACTACGCGCTACCATGGTGACTCATGTCATAGATACCTAGCTTGACTGAGATCAAACAAACCAGACCAAATCAAATTGCAATTGGATCAACAAAAGCACACTACCCAACTATCTTAAAGTCAATGCTACCAGACCTCCTTCACCAGATTAAATGCCATCTCTCGACTGTCATTCTCCCACCTAATAATCCCCATTTAGCAAAATCGCGTCTAAACCAAACTCCGGCTTAGCAGGTTCCCCTGAAATACCCCTGTACACACCATCACCATCGGCCAACTGGGTTAACCCGTCAAAAGATCTCGTTCCATGAGCCAACCTTATCGGCTCGATATTTGCAAACTCCGCCGCCACCCGGATCGTTTCCCAATCCTCCGGGTTATATCCAGAAACCAGCAGAAGCGTATCGTCCTTAAGGGTTTACGCATCTGCGATAAGCGAAACTCTATAATCAAGAAGCGAACCATGGGGGACGTCCTTGACCACAAATGTCTTAATGGCTTGAGTGGTCCAGCCCAGGAATGGTGAGTCAAAGTGCTCGGTAACGGGGGGGTTGGTGACATTATCAAAGGTGAGGAATTGGAGCCTGACGACGGAGCGGGTGGTCATGACGATCAGGGACCGGCGGAGATGGGGCCGTTTCTGGTAGGCGGCGGTTAGAATGCGGCTAAGGGTCTAGGAAAGAGACAAGTTAGTAGAATTATTGGAGATGAGGGGGAGAGGGGGTGGGAAGAGAAAGGGGGGAATACGGGGAGTGGGATGTCGACGGTGCAGAAGATTCCGTGAATTTCGGAAGTGAGCTTTTGGCTTGCTAGTTCCTGGTTGGGATACATTCTGTCGGATGGTTTTGGGGGGTGGGGAAGGTACTTTATGGGGAAGCAAGTTGGTTAGGTTGTTCTTTGCGAGGTGGGATGAAGGATGCGTTGGAGATGGGTGAGTGGGAAGTTATATAGGCTTGAAGTGGTAGTTTTATGAGGAAAGAGGAAAGGCAATCCGGTTGAAGAGAACATTCCAGATATTACTAACCGGCCCCTCTGCTATTTTCTCCGGAGTCACACCTTGTGCAATGTGACCGTTCAGTGTCACGGACAAAGTGATCTCACCCGCTGTAATATGCTGCAAGGCATACAAGGAGGCTCGTGGCCCCGCCGTGTGTGATATAGTAATTCTGGAAGGTGGGCATATTAATCACTGTTACATGACTTTCCCTTGAATTTCGCTCCTCACCTGGCTAGTGTTCCCTTATACCAAGTATCCAAAACTTTGAAATCCCGATGGCCACACCTGTTCATGGCGCAAAAGTCCACCATTTTCTATCATGTGAATTTTCTCCCTCTCATCTCATAGTGGAGACTCAACCCTTCCTCTGAAAGTAACATACATTCATACATTAATACAAGTAATGCTGTATGTCACTGTCATCGCCACACCGTGTGACCCCGAAGCTTAGCAGTGGGGTCACTGGGTGAAACTTTTATCACCTCCGTTGCCAATAATGGCAAGATTGAGCAGCTCTACCGTTCAGCCAAGGGCTAGAATTCAGTAGGCCTAGACTACGCATCACTTACATAGCTAGTCGATCAGGTCTCTGAAATTTGTACGACGGTTTAACAAGCACAGCAAGGAGGAGCGTGTCATAAACCCGAGACATGGAAAACAAGAACAAGACAGAGGATGGACTGGATCACTGGCGGTATCACACTTGGCCCAGGCCTCCCTCGGATAATTTTGATATAGATCCAATTGGTACAGAAGGGTATGTAGATAGCACAATGCGAGATGCAACTCAGCAAAATGACATTGTTACTCTTCACCTATCTTTGTCCCAAACACAAGTGTACCCCTTCTCAGTGGCCCACTCCTTAACAGTCTTGCCCGTAGAATCATTCACATCGGGATCCCATGTTGGAGGAGGAATGCCAAGGCATTCAACACGCAACCTTTCATTGTAAGATGCAGTTCTGTCTCACCCACGTCAGTTCAATGGAGCTTGGCACCAGCTTTGAGTAGAAACTCCATGTAAGCAATATTTTTGAAACTCGCGGCACGGTGGAGCGGGCTCCAGCGATCGGGGAAGCGATAGTTTACCTCCGCGCCTTTTTCGATGGGAAACGAGAGGAGAGCGAACTCATCTCCAATTGCTTTACTTTGGACGGCTAGAAGAAAGGGCGACCAGCCATCCTTGATTAAATCGTTCACCAGAAGGCAATACATTATTGTTATCCCGCATCAAAGGGTCTGCGCTGTTTGCGAGCAGCAGCTCGACAGTCTCCAAGGGTGCCTGGTATGCCGTGATGTGTAACATAGCCCCGCCGACAGGTTTGTGCGAGTCTCCATTCTCGAATTTCATCGACCTTACCTTCATTTTGTCGCTCTTCTGCAGAGAAAAGCGAACGACTGGGGATTTTCATTCTTGACCGCAACAAATAGTAGGCTGTCACCCCGTGGATGAAGGTCCTGCAAGTCTGCACCGTGATCAAGTAGTATTTGGATTGTCTCCATACCCCCTGCCGTCGAGACTCCGCGATATAAGATTGGCGCGGACTCCTCGGTCATTGTTCAGTTTGGGTTTGCTCTCTTTGTAAGGAGAAGTCGGAATATTTGAATCAGAGCTTCCCATAAGACCTCCTGAGGAATAATATCACCATTCCACAGTGCATTGCAGCCTTAACCAGGCTTTGGTCTAGAATACGTCGGGGCGTTTCTCCAGGATAGCAGCGCAAAAGAATCTCCAAGAGGTTTGCATATCGATTATGTGCAGCCAGAGCGACCGTCCCCTCTCCCAGTCGTCGGTGGTGATCTGAGCAGGGAACACTCGGTCAATTAGGACCTGTGCCACATCGGCACTTCCCCAATAGGCTATTGTGGCAAAAGGAGTGCATAGCTATGGCACCGGAAGTTGCTCACCAGGACGATCATCCTGGTCGCGCCTGGTACAATCCGCACCAGTGTGGAGGGAACGTACGTACCAAGTTGTGAGATGCAGCGGCGTCTTGCATGGGTTGTTGTATTCGTCCGCGCCCTTCTGTTCCACACTGTAGCCACGATCAATTAGCCATTGTACAAATTCCACATGGCCACCAATAGTGGCCTCATGGAGCGGATTCCTCCATTGGAAACGCAGGTCTGCCGCTCTCACGTTCGGGTCACCCAGGAGCAGGACTAGTATCCATCCCAGTCCCCTTCTCTAGCAAAGTCGAGGATTTCTCATGTCCACCTGATATCCTGTCTTTGGAGAGGTGATAGTTGTGTTGCCATTTACAATCAGACAATTCAAGGCTGGGGTGATGGGTTCGCGAGGGGAACATGATGCTGAGTGATGGCTGTGGCAGCCCAGGGGAACGATAAGAATGAGGGAAAAGCGGATTTCAATTTATCTGCTGAGCAGTTGCCCGGCTTGGCTCAACAGGCTAGCTGGCCCTCCATCACATGACTGGAGCGAAGTTTTATTCCCAGGGCCCCAGGCAACCCTGTGTGTGAAGGGCTCATTCTCAGTCGACCCTTCATCTTTCCTCGATTCCCCTTCTAAGCGTCCTTAATGAATGGGTTGGGACGGTATAAAAGACCTCACTACTCCGTATCCTCATGTGTATGATGTCTCTTCCTGTCACAGGGAAGAATTTGAAATCCCAAGCAGTGGGCTGGGGTGATTCTCTGATTAGACACTGCCCTGGTACGGGATTCTCTCTGAAGTTAACAGCGCAAACCTACAGAATGGGTCTGTCTCTACAGGTGCTGAGCTACTTCCCTCCTAGATCCTCCTTGATCAAGTCCGCTGCCCGCTCCGCAATGGCGTAAACCGCGCTCTGGGTATTCCCCCTGGGCACAATATGAATGACGCTGGCGTCCACAGCCTTTGAAGCATGCTTCTCTGTTAAAGAAGGGGATCAGACTGTTTACTTTAATGCTGAGTACAGTTAGTCTATATACCTGCTTTTTAAATAGTCAGAAAGTCTGATTATATTGTTAGACACGCTTCCCATAATTGGCCATGCCTGTGGTCATAATCTGATCACTATCTTCACTCTTTTTTCTGTCATTAATCTTAAATCTATCTTCAGAATATACTTCATTCCTGGTACACTGGTGGTAATAGATATATTTATTAAAGAATCTTAAGACAGGAAATGGCTGATAGCACAGAACGGTACTTGAAAAGGGTTTAATTTCTGTATTATGATGCATGGAATGACGGATTTTAGTATCCTTGTATACTGTATTAAGGCATTATTAAAGCTATATATTAAGTTTAAAAGTAAATCTGTGCATGCGGCGGCGGGGCCCTGAATAGACAAGAATACTTGTAATATGATTATACAGGTGTATACAGGAATTATAATATTAAGACAACATATTCAGAAGAGTAAGAGTATTTAAAAATATATTTTAAAGATAGAAAAGACTGCTAATCTAATTCCAGATTATGCGGAGGGGCTGTTTAATGTTAGGGCAATGATGGTGAAGGATGTGAAAGAGTTGAGGGAGAGGGTGGAGAGGGTGTTTTATAACGCTGCGGGCGCGACGGGGTGTAAGGTTGAGTTGGAGTGGTGAGTTCTCTTCGTTTTTTTCCCGTCCGGGGTGGGGGCTTTATGTGGGAAGGAGTGAACGGCTGAAAAGATGGATGAGCTAATGGTGGTAGGTTCGCGCTTTACGAGGACGTCGTGACGAATGATACCCTTGCGGAGCAGTACAGACAATATATGCTGCAGTATTTGGGTTTGCAGCCGGAGCAGATGGTATCAGTGAAGGAGACTAGGACGGTTCATGACTTGCTGGGAAGCTCGTGAGTTTTTATATATATTGTTTAAAGGAGAGTCATGGAAGCTAACTACAGCAGTGATTTTGAGAGCTGCTTGTATATCTGTCCTAATATTTAAGCAATGTTTGATATTAAGATAACTAATCTTCCATATTTAATTAGCTTCTGCGAGGCAGTGCAAGATTATGTTGTACATGAGAAAGCACTTCGGGCCGGAAAGGCTAATGCTCTGATATCGCTGGATATGTTGATAAACGACGCTTTTGCTACGAGGATGAAGGAGGACTTTAGGGCGGCGATGAAGGACGCTGGGCGTTTGTCTGAGTGGCATGACCTAGCAAGAAGCGTAGCAACTATTTAAGAGATAATTCCATGAGCAAGAGATGGTAAGCATGCAGCACTACGATTACAAAAGAACCAATATACCAATAAATTAACACCTCAGTCCCATTGCCCTAAGACCTTCCAATAGTTGGCCATACGAAGCCTCAACATCTCCACTAGTATCCATCTAATAAACCATCAATACTAATCAATAAATAGAAAAGTACCATCTACCTCAACCAAAACCCCCCTGCGACGATAATACTCTATAATCCTAGCATTTTCAGCAATATAGTAACAGTATCTCTGATCAAACGTCCCTCTATCATCCACCTGACCAGGAATATTCCTAGTCATGAACCTCTGTCTAGCGATCTTTTCCGGACAGTTAAAGAGAAAGACCAGATCTGGCGACCTGATCTGTAAATTCAGCACGAGCAAAAGATATATCGAAGATGTATGAGTCCTTACGGCTTTCTCAACAGGTCCTGCCTGCTCCAGCACCCGGGGAACACCATCAATCACGATGTTCTTCTTCCCTTCTAGCTCCAACCTCTCGACCTCACCTCGGAGAATAGGAATCAGGTCTTCAACGTCAATCAAGACGTTGCTTCCAATTGCCTGGGTGGCCTCTGGCCTCAACCTCTTCAAACGGCATTGCTCGCGCAAGAGGTCTCCGACTGAGAGGTGATGGTAGTGATAATTCTCAGCGAGCTTCTTGCAGAGTGAGCCCTTGCCTGCGCCGGGTGCACCTAAGTGGGTAATTTAGTGGAGTTGTCACAGTCTGGAATCGACACTCACCTATAACGTAGATGCGATAGTACTTAAGGATGTCCATTGTGCTTGTACTTGGGGTGTACATTACAGGGATGATTTGTTTTGCGGTCGGAAGTACAGCACTGCAGATGCTGGGAAATGGTAGGTGACATTTTAAAGGTCATGAATACGTCTTTAAGTATATTGAATATGGGAATTGTGAATTATGGGTAACCTTTTCCTTGATAGTAATGAAAAGGGTACGATGAATACCTCCATGGGTTTGAGGGGTTGTTACTTTCACCTGTAGTATGAAAGTACGGGTTAGCAAAGCCACCAGACCCGCCTTTGCAGTGTCACAAGAGGAGAAAAATCCGGGCTTGATTCACCTTCCCACAGCAAATTTCTGTGCTCGGTGAACAGGATTTTACCCTACAGAAATCCAGAGTCTGACAGCTGCGCTAACTCTTTCCTTGACACTCGACACCAAACAGAAATTTCACACATTAACCTCCACTGTTCTCCAATCTCTTCAAAGAAGACCCAACACTCCTCCCTTCTCCCTCCACCCAGATCCATACAACAACCTTCCCACATCCAACCTCCAAAAAAATGCTTCTCCTCGAAGTCGAACGCAAATTTCCCCGCCTCACCATAAAACTCCACCTCGCTCCAGCCTACCACCAACCCCCCTTCCGTACCTTCAATTACCTCGGAACCAAAACCCTACGCGACACTTATTACGACTTCCCCTCCTCCTCCACCTCCACCAGCACGCACCCCCACTATCTCTCCACCCAGGGGATCTGGATCCGTAAACGCAATAATACCTGGCAAGCCAAGATCCGGCGCGGCGGGAACTACACCAACTCCTAGTTCCAGGAACTTTCCTCGCTTGCAGAGATCTCCTCCTACTTGGCGAATATTACGAGTGTGAAATAAACTGAGGGGGTGAATTTTGGACTCGTGCTGATGGCGGATTTCGTGACTGTGCGGGAGAGGTGGGTTATGGATAGAGGGTTTACTGTTATGCAGGATAAGATGGATTTCAGACATACAGTGGGGGAGGTGGAGATAGAGTAGAGAGAAGAATGCAAGGAAGGTGTAGAGAGGTTTAGAAAGAAGAAGATGGAGAAGATAGATAAGAGAATTAGGGAGTTTATGAGAAGATATGGATAGGCTTTTTGTAGGAGAGAGGCAAAGAGGAAGTTGTCAGCTTATTTTAAGATGAAGGGGGGACGGTAGGTTAATAGGGATGAGGAAGTTGAGAAGATTTGAGGTGAGAATGAAGGTTGATAGTGGGTATGGGGTTGTGGGTTATTTGGGTAGATTATTTGGGGATTTGGTGTGGTGCGCTGGGGGGTGGCTGTTGGAAGCTATTCGCGTGCATCCAAACAAGTAGTAATGTTAATACACATGTGTTCTATTCTCATACTACCCCGTTATTACGATAATGAATTAAGAAGTACTGGACTTAGTCGTAGAATAGCCATCGACTGCTTCTGTACCGACCCATGGCTCCACTCAGGTGGTCTTCAAAAAGAACTATAAGAGTGGGTCAGAGTGGGCTCACGAGCATATGGAGATGAGTTTCTACAGTGGGTCTCCCGAACGATGTTTTCAGGGTATTGAGTCGAACGTAAAGTTTGGGGAATAGGCGGAAATACTACCATGAGAAGGTTGCCCCAGCATCGGACATTGATCTGTTTCTCTACGGCTTGGATGAAGCACAGGCAATCGAGAAGATCAAGCAAATTGAGGACAAAGTCAAGAACTCAATTCTATACGAGACAACCACAGTGCGAACCGAGAATACTGTCACCATCGTCTCGCAGTATCCCACACGCCATGTTCAGATAGTGCTTCGCATATATAAATCCATCGCGGAGATCTTAACCGGTTTTGATGTTGATTGCGCCTGTGCTGCTTTCGATGGGAAGCAAGTCTTCGTGTCTCCGCGTGCCCTTTCCTCATATATCACCCAGATAAATACAATTGACCTTTCCAGGCGCTCTCCTTCCTACGAAAACCGTCTCTCGAAGTACTCACATCGTGGGTTCGAGATATTCCGGCCGGAATTAGACCGATCGCGAATCGACCCAGTGAGCATTTCTGTGGTGACCTCTGCTATGCTTCGACTAATTTATTACACCCATAGACAATCTTCGAGCGAAGCTTTACCAGAATGGTTGGCCTGGCACGCCTTCTGGTCCTCGAGAAGCTGCCGAAGTCGTCAGATCGGGAATCTTATATTGAACAAAGGCGACAGGAGCGGGGCCGGCCTGCTCCAAGAAACAATATAAGATACCCGGCCGGTAACCTCAAGAATGACTACGCTGATGAGGTTCCCGATTGGGAAGAGGGAGACGAGGTCTCTGATTATAATACATTTGTTGGTTTGAAGCTTTCCCCTCTACTGCTTGATGACTAACAGATTGGGCAAGACAATCCCTTACGGCCCCAGGTACAAAGCTCGAAAGGTCGAGAATCTCCTTCATACGAAAGATCTGTTGCTCAACGCAGAGTGGAACAAGCCCAAGGACAGACAAGTTAATCTCCACCGACACCCAGCGTTTTTTGGCGACGTCGTGGATGTGATTCATGATTGTTGCGGTTTTTGTCCGCAGCCGGAGACTGAGGAAGAGAAAGAGATAGCAGAGAAAGAGAAAAAGCTCTATGTTTCGGGGAACATATCATTCCTTAAAGATGATCCAGGTCGTCAGGAGATTGGTAGCTTTAACCCAATTACGGAGACTGACTGGGCTGGTTTGTGTACCCTTGCTCCTAGGAGAGATCTAAAAGCATGCTAACTCGGCAGAAGAAATGGCGTATGTGGGCAACTTAGAGCAGCTGTGCCAGGCCATCGTCAATTGTGATTTGGAAGGAGTCGCAGCGTGCCTCACAGAAGACATGGTAGACCCTAACAACCGCGACTATACGGGAAGAACGCCATTGCACTTGGCTTGTTTGATGTCCACGCCGGAAATTGTGAAGTGCCTTGTTGACAATGGCGCAAGTCTGGTCTCTCGCCTGGCCGACGGTCGGACAGCGCTGCACCTGGCTGCCGCTAGGGGAAGTTTGGAAATCGTGAGAATATTATTGCAGAAGAGCGAGCAGAACGAAGCAGAGCAAGGTCAGCCTGATATACGCCAAGATAGAAATGGGGGCAACGAGAGTGAGATTGAGGAGCTGGCGCTGGTGGAGACCAAAGCTCCTACACCTCCGGTTCGTTCGTTCATGTTGACAGGGAAACCAACTTGGATTCGGATGGTATTGATTTGGCAATGTGTGATAATGAAAAGGAGCCGGACATTTATGACATCAACGTCGTCGCTTGGGACACTCCCACTTCGGCGCTGCATCTTGCTATGCTAAATGGTCATGTTGACGTGGTGGACGAGCTTGTTGCCTCGTTCGGCGCTGATGTGTTGTTGCCGGTTAAGCTGACACATCCTTATAGCAACACCCCAAGGGTTGCTATTCTGAATCTGGTCTTGGCACTTCAACTGCCTTTCGAAAAGGTTAATACAATGACTGAAAAGCTATTGCAGCTCGGTGCACTTCCAACACAGGCGGACCTCGGCAACGTGACCGCAGTGCACTATGCGGCTGCTTCCGATTATCCCGCCCTCTTGGATGTATATCTCAATCGCAACCGTCCAACAACGTTGAAAGCAATAAACCATCTTATACCCTCGGGTTATTCCTGGAGGACAAGTGCTTATTTAGTACTTACAATAGCTCTTTTAAAAAGAAATATTCTCAGTACAATCAAACTTCTTGAGGCTGTTGCACATTCTTCCATTAACTTTAAATCATTTATAAAGCCTGGACAGAGAACCTTTAAAAATATTAAAGCTAATTTATCTGAAAGAAACAAGAAGATTTTCTAATATATAATTATACAACTAATCATTCTCACAGTACAGAAAGACTTACTAATAATTACTGTTCAACTTCTCAATAGTGACATTAATCCGAAGACACTCACCTCTGAAGAATATAATGTCCTAAATAATATCTTTAGCCAGAGATGTACCATTAAATAATCTTTACTGGATTATATCCGAGATAAGATTACAAAATTATATAAATACTATAAAGAGGATTTAAATAATATATCTTTCCTTCTACTAGTACATGCTGACCAGTACTTATATTGTCTGGAATCTGGAATGTACCAGATGTGATGGCAGCTCTGCCGGGTATCATGTGATGCTTATATCATCTTGTTTATTCTGTTTACTTTACTGTTGCCAGTATTTTTTTTCTTTAGTAAATATCTATAATACTCTCTGTTTTCCTTTTTTTCTCTTCATACTTAAAGTTCTAGAGTAGTTAGTATTAATATAACTTTATTTTATGTTAAATAATCATCTTATAACTTTAAGTATTATTTCTATCTTTTTTTTACTATTATACACAGTCAGCTTCTGTTAAATTGTTAGTAATTCTCTTTACTTATATTTTTAAAAATATCTAATAATTAAAAATAATCTACCCGACTGATTAACTAAACTAAATAAAATAATTGAAAAATAGTTAGATCTTTATTTTTAAAGATAACTAAAGATTCTCCGTGGTAGCCTTTAATAAATTAGATTAGAAAAATAGATTTAATCAGATTAAATTTGATATCTGATATTAAAGTAATCTGAAATAGATCTTTAAATATCTTGTTATAAATTTTTATTAATTTGAAAACTAAAAGAGATCATTTTCTTAATATCTAAGATAGATAGAGCTAGAAGATTACTATCTTAATTTATAAGAAAGAAGAAATAATTAAAGAATAAAATATCCTGGCCCTGTAGATATTCTATTTAATAAGGGATATTTTATATAGTAAGATAATTTCTAAATTAAAAATGATACTGAAGATTTCTAATCCTTTTTTATTTAATAATGAAAAATTTTTTTAAGACTGGATACAAACTATATATCAGAAATTAAAGTCTAATTTTAATTAACTTCTTATCTTAACTATATAGTTTATTTATATTACCAGTTATTGTATAAATAATGTTAGAAAATATCTAAATTTCAGATTCTGTTATAATATTATTAGTCTCTATCTTAATATAGAGAATATTTTAAAATATTTAAAAATTATTTTTATTAACTTAAAAAGACCCGTAACATCTATTACTAATATAATAAATTATATATAAAGATTAAAAGGAAATTCTATATCTTTATCTTATACTTTTATTATCTAGCTGTGGAGATAGAGATTAATAAGAATGTTTAAAAGAAAGATTTATATAATAAGATATTTTTTAAATTAAAGAAAGTAATTCTGTACAGTTTTAATAATAAGAAATATTTCTTTAATTATTATATAAAAGAATATACATACTTTATTAATCTTATTAATAATTTAATAAGATATTATATTAAGAGTAATACTGTGACTACTGACAGTTATAAAGAGATTTATAGTTCTTATATTATTTTAGCTATTTTAAGTATTGAAAGTATGTCTTTTAAAATTCTTATCCATACTTTTTGTGATAGAACGGGTTCGGATGATGATCCTTACCTAATGGGTAACCACCAATGGCAGTTAAGGTGTCTAGACAAGCAATATCAAGATAATAAGATTTATAAGATTATTATTATATATACCATGATATCCCGCGCTCTATTACATAATAAGTATAGAGAGTTCTTCTTTCTAATTTTTTTAGAAATAGACTATACTTATTAATTTATATTGTTCTGGAATGTAATCCGCTTAATTAATATATCTTTTATTCTGATAAGTAGATCTTATTATATTCTAATCTTTTTTTTAATTATTTAAAAAAATATATTTTCTTAGATTTCCAGTAAAGGACCAGAGATAACTTCAGTAGAAAATAATAAAAAATTAATAATTATCTTTATTTTTATTATTAAAGAAATTCAGAAATTCTAAGATATAATCTAATATCTAGAATAAATAAATATTTTATATTACTAAATTATAATTTTTTGAATAGATATTTTATTAAGTGGAACTTCAAGAAATCAGTATCAGTCTTATTCATCTTTTTTTAATAATGATAATTATAGTTATAAAACATTAAATTGAAAAGTATTATATATTTTTTTCTAGACTTGAACTTACAGAAATAATAGAAATAATTATTAAATCTAGAATATATATTCCATGGAGAATTTAAGAAGTATATTATAAAACATTATAAGATTCTTACCATTTTATATTATATATAAATATCTTATTACTGTTACGGACCCCTGCTAGCTGAACGAACTAGTAAGGCGGACTCGTCAGGCAGAAGGCTACGTCCGGAAGGCGAGGACTCTTATCGAGTAGAATCCCGATCTGAGTAACCTACAAACCGGGACGGTTACACAACACGTGACCACGACGGACATGTCACCGACACGCTATAACATGGCAGCGCTACGACAGGACATGGCAGCGCTACGACAGGACATATCGGCGACATGACATATCATGGCGATGCCATGACGAAGGATAGAATATAAGGACACTCTTTCATGTACTTAGCTAGTTCTGTTCTTCGTGCTCAATAACACTGTCTTTAAGTAACCATACGTTTTGGTAAAGCTTAGCGACAACACTCGTCCGCACTTACTTACGGATAGCTGCGCGGCACTATCTGGCCTTACTTCTCTTCTCTTGTTCAGATCAAGTCACCTTTAGATAGTCAACGACCTGACTACCTTGATTCAGTTCACAGGTACGCATCGGAACGGGAGCTAAGCTAACAGGAACAGGGAGAAGCGATCCTAGGGTTTGACAATTACCAGCAGTGGTATTAACATGTAAAAAAAAGTTTAAGAAAGATTAATAAATTACTAGAAATTTATAGATATATTTTATAAATTAAACTATTATCTTAATTTATAATACTACTACTTTGCAATCTAATACTATAGCTTAATTAAAGTAAATTCATGAATAAAATAGTCAAGATTTATAAGAATTTTATACTTATTTTAATACTCTTAAACAGTATTTTCTTCATTAAATAAAAAGAGATTAAGTTTTAATTTATTTTATAAAATTACTTTCAGAGTTGAATTAATATATTTATAAATATATTTTATATTTATCTGAAAATAAAAATAAAATAGTTTTGATATTGTATATTACTATAAACTTTAGAAGAATAAAGGTAAATAGAAATAATATGATTATTCTCTTTTTAAAAAATATTTAAAACAACAATTCTAATAAATCACTATCTTAAAATCTCTTAATATAAATACAAGTCATGATAAATCTGAGAAATTAAAATAAGATCTTATTAAATCTAATAAAAAAATAATTATAGTATTTTAATTATAACAGTAATATATATTTAATAAATTGCTGTTTAATTAAGAAAATCTAAATTGTACAGACTTATTAAGCTTTTTTATAAAATAAAATTTTTTTTAAGAATTAGTGTCAAACCCTAGGATCGCTTCCCTGTTCCTGTTAGCTTAGCTTCACTGGTATACATACCTCCGAACTGAATCGAGGATGTATCAGACTGATGACTATCTAGAAATGACTGGTCGTGAACAAGAGAAGAGAAGTAAGGCCGAATAGTGCCGCGCAGCTATCCGTAAGTGAGTATGGATGAGTGTTATTATTAAGCTTTCCAAACATATGGTTACTTAAAGACAATATTATTGAGCATAAAGAACAGAACTAGCTAAGTACATGAAAGAATGTTCTTATATCCTATCCTTCGTCATGGCATCGCCATGGTATATCATGCCACTTGATATATTATTTCATGTTGCCGCCATGTCCTGTCATAGCACTGACATGTTATAGCTTGTCAGTGACATATCCATCATGGTCACGTGATATATAACCATCTCAGATATTATGATGGTAGTTTCCAAATAATAGTTCGGTCTCACCCGAGCGCTGCCCTTATCAGTGCTTTCTGCCTGATAAATCTGCTTTACTAGTTGTTCAGCTAGTAGGGGTCTGTAACACCACTTCCCTTTCTTCAAGGTTTCTTGTCCCCAAGGAACATAAATCTGCGGTGTCCCCCCTGTTGAGATAAATATTCAGTATTGTTTCTAAATTTTTCATTCAGATTATTAATTATGTTATTTACTTTCTCTATTTATAAGAAGAGTCTCTGCTGACAGATTAAAGATAAGGGTTTTCTTGCGGTTTTCCCTTGCAAGTACTGTATCTGTCTATACAAGATATATATTAAATCTAAGAATTCTGATTACTGTAACAAGTATATAAAGATAAATAGTATTTATTATAAAATATCTAATCCTTCCTTCTCTGACACCGAGTAGAAGTGTTTAGTCAAGGTCTAAAATTCTATTAAAGAAGAAGAGAAAGTCATTCTAGCAAAATTTCTTTAATTATAAAAACAAAAACAGTTATTATAAAAATAAGCTAGTAATTTTATAGCTCGTGATATAAAGAAAATTAAGGAGCTGAAAGAGCTTGAGAAATAAGAATAAAAGAAACATGAAGTACAGAAAAGATTATATAATTAAAAAACTATAATATTTGAGATCGAGATTAATACTGCCATGAGTGGTAGTATTAAGCTAGCCACTATATCTGAGCCTGATCTTAGTTTATTCCAACTGATTGGCTCTCCTTCTTTCTGGGCAAATTTCAACCTGTTCATCAATAATACTGCTTTACAAGTTAATAACAGCTTATTAAATTCTTAATAAATTTCCACATGTTTTTTAAGATATCATATTCTTTCTATTTTATCAGATATTATGATCTACTGCTTATCTTCTTATAATCTAGGATTCTTTTAACTTTATATTCTTCTTTTATATTGTTATTAATCTCCATATTTTCTATAATTCTAGTATTCTTTGATGCAGGTTTCAGCAATAAGATATAAAATACTAGATAAATCTTATTCATTGATTTTAGTAGTCTTAATTTATAATTGACCGGCTCTTTCTTATCTTCAATAATAAATAGTCCTAGCTTGTGATAATCAAGCTTCTAACTTAATTATTTCATCTTAATATTTTTGCAGAGTAAAAATACTTTCTTTTCCCTTTTTAGATCAGGTTTTCTTCTATATTAATAATTATAGTAGATCTTACTTTACAAGTTTATGAACTTAATATCTTAAAATAACTGTATATACATATTTTCCATGAATACAACAATATTCTCAGCTATATCAGTAACTGATTACTTTCTTAATAATGTTTTTAGAAATCTAGAATGATAATCATAATTTATATAAAATAATAAGACTCTAATAGTCAAGTAATCAATATTATTATATAAGAACTATACTATCAGTAATAGACTTATCTAATTATTTTATTGATAGTTGATATAATGTCTCAGATATTGCTTAATTATCTGATTAATTCTTTCTATTTATCTATTTGTCTATGGATGGTAAGCCATTATTATTTATTCTTTAATTTCTATAAGATCTGCAAGTAATTTCTAGAACTTCAAGATAAATAACTTATCTTAATCTGATATAATATACTTTAATATTTTATAATATATAACAACATTTTCTAGAAATAGTTCTACTATCTATATTATTATTATTATTATTTTGCTTAATATAAGATAGATATATTTAATAAGATAATCAGTAATAATTATAATAATATTATATCTCTTTAATTTAGATAGTAGATTCACAAAGTTAATTATTATCTATTTCTATGGCTGCTGTAGCGCCTCCTGTACTTATATTTATTTATAGAATTAGTATCTTATAGACTTATTTTTAATATATATTTTATATTATCTAATATAATCATATATCTTCTGTCTGAGGTTCAGGATGTAATAGTTCCTAGTAATTAGTTCTGTGATTTTTTCAACTTCTAAGTAGTCCTTGAGTAGTTTATTATAGTATCTAGTCACAATCTCTATTCTTATCAATAATGACCTTGTCTAGTAAGTTCTTGCTCATTTCCTGGAGTATTTTATCTTCTTTAATAGTATCAGTTAATTATCTGGTTAGATTACTGCCTATTTCCAACATTATTATAAGATTAGTCTTATTATAACTGATCAATCCATCCATGTTTCACTTCAGGATGGCTGGTTTGATAATCTTTTTATCTAGTTTATAATCTGGCCTGTGGCTCAGCATATCTACATATTTATTCTCTACTCTCTTACAGTATATAATTCTGAAATCATATTATAACAGAATCTCAGCCTATCTTGCCTGTCTTCTAGTCAACTCTTTAGTTATTATAAAGTAAGTCAAGTTCTTATGATCTATCTTTATAATAACAGTATGCTTTACTTCTTCAAGATAGATCTTTCACTACTTGAATATTACTATAATAGCCAATAATTTCTTGTTATAAATATCGTAGTTAAGTTCTGCTTGAACCAACCTTTTTAAATAAAATACAATTAGTCTCAGTTTTCTATCTTCTCCTGGTTGTATTATATGTATTCTAACAGCGTAATCCAATACATCAGTCTCAATAGTGGTTTTCGTTTCTGGATTGTGCTGTACAAGTATTAATAATATGGTAAGTTACTGCTTGATATCTTCAAACATGCTCTGCTGTGGTCCTTCCTACTTATACTTCTTTAACTTCTTTATAAGTTCAAAAAGTAGTGTTATATAGATAGTATATCTATCCACAAATAATTAATAGTAATTAACTAATCTGATAAACTGCTGTAGTTCTTTCAGATTCTTAGATTAAGACTAGTCTTATATAACTTGTACTTTAGCTTACTCAGTATAGACTCTCTCTGTAGATATCCAATATTTCAGAAACTCTGTTTCCTGTATATAAAATTCATACTTCTTCAGCTTATATTATAACTGATATAAGTATAATTTATATAAAACTAGTCTTATATATCTCATATATTCTTTCTCAGTCTTTAGAAAGATTAATATATTATCTAGATAGGCGATCATGAATCTGTCAAGATATTTTCCTAAGATCTTATTAATATATTACTAAAATAATGCTGATGTATTAATAAGCTTAAATAGTATAATCAAGTACTTAAAGTATCTGTATTTTATTCTGAACATAGTCTTCCATTCTTTATCTTCCATGATATATATACAATAATATATATTTATAATATCAAGCTTAATAAGTTACTTTATTTCTTATATCTTGTCTTAGATCTCCGAAATTAAAGATAATAGATGTTGATCCTTGATTATAATAGTATTTAGTGACTGATAATCTATATATAATCATAAACTGCTATTCTTTTTCAGTATAAATAGGACTCCATATCCTGCTAGCAATTTTGAAGACTTAATATTATCTTTTATTAATTAATTATTAATATACTTCTATAGTATCTGTAACTCTTTTTTAGATATTAGATAAATCTTTCTATATATTAATAACTTTTTTTTCTTTATAGAAATAGTATAGTCATACTTTCTATACTGAGATAATTCAGATTATTCTAGCTATTTAAATTAATCCTTGAATCTCTTATACTGTAGCAGAATATATATATTATTCTTAATCACAGCTAGAGATTTTTATAAATCTTCTAGTCCCTGCTTTAGCATCTCAATCTTTATATCAGTACTGTTAATACTATACTCTCAGTACTCTTCTATTATTGTCAGTACTCATCCTGATAATTCTATAAGCTAATCTTATTATAATGACTTAGTTACTGCTATTACTTGTATAACTATACTTAAAATACTATTTTCTTCTAAGTTATCTTCAATACCTGGTATATTAGACTTTCATGATGTTCTCAACCTTTCCATAGATTGCTTAGTCCTTGCTTCAGCTCCTTGCTAAGTAGCAGGCCGTACAGATCTAGACCCCATATCTAGTCCTTGCTGGTGTCGTCTTGGGCAATCATAATTTATGAATTAGAGGCTCTCAGTCTTCCAATCTATCTATGGATTATGATTTCTGAACCATAGAATCTCTAATATAATATTATACTGATTTAAAGATATCACATTAAAATCTATATACTTATAGTGATCCTTTATAATCATAAATATAGTTTCTGACTTGATTATTAATATAAGAGTTTCTAAATTCTCTCTATTCAGTCCTGTAATTAGTTCAGGTTCTGCTTTCTATTATCCAAGTATCCCAAGCTATTGCATAAATTGCGGGTTCATGAAGTTTTTAATCATTTCAGAATCTACTAATACTTGAGCTAATTAATTTAATACAACTGCTTGGATCTTCAGATATAGCCCTGATTCAGTGGCTGCTAATTATTATTCTGGCTAATTAGGTTCTAACTATCTTGAATGCTTTTTTAGAAATCTTAAGCCTTCTATCTTTACCGCATAATATATCATATACTAATTATTAAAATATGCTAATTAATATATTAATCTATAGTAAGAATATTATTAGTATTCTTTGCATGCACAATCAAAGATAAGATATAGATAGTAGCTTATCTTAGTTCTAATCACTTCTAATATTCTAGATTAGTAATTAATAATATACTTTTAATCATGGTATATAAAGCACATGTTTATATAATATATAAGTTAAGAAAGTTTATTATATCTCTAATAATTGTTACTTTTTTTAAAATATATGCACAGACATGGTTTATTATATCAAGATTCTATTCCAGCCATATGTATCTTCTAATTAATCTCTAATAATTAGTAATAATAGTCTATATTATCTTATCCACATGTTAAACAAACTTCTAGATAATAAAGATATCTCTATAAATATTATTTTCAAGTCTTATTCTATAATTTCCAATATCTTAAGTCTCAATGTGGGCAATGCTATATAATCTTCTTAAGTTCTAGGCAGAATCATGCTAGATTTTCTAAGATCTCTTTTAAGATATAATCTAATCAATAAGTAATATTATTCTTATCATTCTTCTAGTTCTCTTTGTCCTCGTCTCGCTATATTAGACAGGATTTACTAATTTCTGATAGAGGTTTTTCCAGAGTATTAAGTATCTCGCTAAGTCTCTTCTTACTGGATTCAAGACCTTTAAGCTGAGTACTGTACTTTTCGTCTAACAGATCGAATTCATCCTAAACTATACTGGGATAGTTATTCCTTGAAACTGACTTACTGCTATTATTGATTTCCATAGTCCAAGCTAATAGTACAGACAATCATTAATCTTCTTATTAACTTAATGATATTATTAACTCATCTATAGTGATCTGTTACCTCAACCAATCATAATATATTCTATTCTTTAATAATTATCTATATTAAATAATATGTAGCTTCTTGTTATTTAGTATCCATATTACAGATTCTATCTAAACTTCATGCTAAATAGTAGTAACATTATAGACTCCTTTATCTTGATCTTGTTATATAGCTCTTAACTGCTTCTGAGGCTGTTGCTGTTTCTGACTATAGTTCTTTAACTAATGATCTGCTTTGCCATAGCTAAAGCACAAGCAGTCTCTTTTACACTGTTTAAGTTTCTTCTTAAATACTCTATTCTATTGAGTCTGATACTGTACTGTATCTAGCTCCATTAGTTTTAGTCTATAGAGATCTTTATATCCCAAACTCTAAGGTTATACTGATCTTCTATTATTAGCTCAGTAATCTGATTAGCTGTTTTATCAAGATATAGACCCGCTGGTCCATCAGCCCTCTCTTTATTTTATATTATACTTATATAACTTATTATTAATCTTGACTGCTGCTTTAATCATCTTTAACAATATGTTCAGTTATTCTTACTAGATAAGTTTCTCTTGAATCTCTATCTTAAGTCCTTCTTTGAATCGTGTGATATAGGTATTATTATTCTAGTCTAAGTAACTAATAACTTATAAAAACTCCGAAGTATATTTAGATACTGATTCAGTCTGCTTAAGTTATTATAACTTTTACTTAATATTATATACTATATTAATATCTCTAAATATCTGTTTAAGACATTGTTTAAATCTAGTATAACTAGTAAAGATTTACTTTATATTATTATCTTGATTATTTACTGACTTTTCTTGATACTTGTAGATATATAGTTCATATTGATTAAATATTGTTCCAGTCAGGTAGATAAACGTAAAAAGAATCTTATTAATCTTGTTTCTGAGCTTTTCTCTGTTTATGCCGAGATACAAGTCCAACTGGATCAAGAAAGCCCTGAGCTTCGCTCGATTGCTGTTAAATAGTTCTGGTGGTTAGATCTTAATAGATTTAACTGCTAAGTAACCTTTAAGTAACTAGTTCTGTTATTTTAAGACAGTGATGCTTTCTTACAACTGACTAACCATACCCATCAGTTCTTGTATTGTCAGGCCCTGCTGCTATAGAGCACGCGATGAGTTTAAAGTAGTTAATATAATAAATAATTGTTACTGGATAACACTCGTACTGACTGGTGCTCAATGTATCAAATCCTAGGATTGCTTCTCCCTGTTCCTGTTAGCTTAGCTTTGCTGATATACGTACCTTCGAACTGAATCGAGACAGAGTCAGACTGATGACTATCTAAAGATGACTGATCCTGAATAAGAGAAGAGAAGTAAGACTAGATAGTGCTATGTAGCTATCTATAAGTAAGTACAGACAAGTATTATTATTAAGCTTCTAAACATATGATTACTTAAAGATAATTATATTAAGTATAAAGAACAGAACTAGCTAAGTACATGAAAGAGTGTCCTTATATCCTATTCTCTATTATGGCATCGCTATGACATGTTATACCACTTGATCTGTTATTTCATGTTGCTGCCATGTCCTGTCGTAGCGCCGACATGTTGTAGCTTGTCAGTGACATGCCCATCGTGGTCACGTGCTGTGTGACGGCTCCGGGTATTGGTTACTCACATCGGGATTCTACTCGATAAGAGTTCTCATCCGTCCGGACGTAGCCTTCTGCCTGACGTGTCCGCCTCACTAGTCGTTCAGCTAGCAGGGGTCCGTAACAGTTTTCTTGCGGTTTTCCCTTGCAAGCATTACATTCGCCTGCACAAGGTGTGCATCAAACCCAAGAGCTCTGATTATTATAATAAGTATATTAAGATAAATAATATTTATTATAAAATACCTGATCCTTCCTTCTCTGACACCGAGTGGAAGTGTTTAATCAAGGCTTAAAATTCCATTGAAGAAGAAGAAGAGATTATTCTAATAAAGCTTCTTTAATTGTGGAAACAAAAACAGTTATTACAGAAATGAGCCGGCGATTTTATAGCTCGTGATATAAAGAAAATTAAGGAGCTAGAGGAGCTCAAAAAGCAAGAGTAGAAAAAGTATGAAGCATAAAAAAGATTGCGCGAATAAAAGGCTGCGGCATTCGAGGCTGAGGCTAGTACTGCTGTGAGTGATAGTGTCAAACTAGCCGCCTTATCCGAGTTTAGTTTGTCTCAACTGGTTGACTCTCCTTTCTTCTAGGCGAACTTTGACCTGTCTGTTAATAGTACTGTTCCATAAGCTGGTGGCAGCCTATTAAATTCTTGATAGATTCCCATGTATTTTCTGAGGTACCATATCCTTTCTATTTTATCAAGTAATGTAATTTACCACTAATCTTCTTATAGTCCAGAATCCTTTTGACTTCATATTCTTATTCAGTATTGTTATCAATCTCCACATTCTCTGTGATTCTAGTGTTTTTTAGTGCGGGTTTCAATAATAAGATATAAAACACTGGGTAAATTTTGTTCATTGATTTCAGTAGTCTCAACTTGTAATTGACTGGCCCCTTTCTTTCTTTAATAATAAATGATTTTAGTTTGTGATGATCAAGCTTCTGGCTTGATTATTTTATCTTAATATTTCTGTAAAGTAGAGACACTTTCTCTCCCCTGTTACGGACCCCTGCTAGTTAAAGCTACTAGCAAGGCGGACTCGTCAGGCAAAAGGCAATGTCCGGACGGGCAGCAACTCTTATCAAGTAGAATCCTGATCTGAGTAACCGACATCCGGGACAGCCACGCATCACGTGACCATAGGTATATGAGATAGTATATGAACAGGTATATAGTATATGATATACAGTATATAAGAAGATATATAACTTGGTATATAAAGGATAGATATATAAGAACACTCTTTCATATACTTAGCTAGTTCTGTTCTTCATGCTCAATCTTATTATCTTTAAGTAACTATATATTTAGAAAAGCTTAATGACAACACTTGTCCGCACTCACTTATAGATAGCTGTATGGCACTATCTGGCCTTACTTCTCTTCTTTAGTTCAAGACCAGTTATTATTAGATAGTCATCAGTCTGATATTACCTCGACCCAGTTCAACAGTATGTATACTAGTGAAGCTAAGCTAACAGGAACAGGGAAGTGATCCTAGGGTTTGACATATTACTAGTAAATATACTGTGTAAATTCTTATACTAATTACTATAGATTCTATCTAATATTTTAATAATATTAATTAATATTTCTTTATAAATTTATAATTTTATTTAATTAGTGTAATTAAAAGATTTAATAATCTTTTTAAGTAGGATTCTTTTTATATTATAAAGAATATTTTCGTAATATATTATTCTTATAATAAGAAGAGTGCAGATACAAGATAAAATATAATATTAATTATTTTTATTTTATTATTTATAAAGTAATAACTATTTATATTAAAATAACTTCTTAACTTTATTATATAATAGCAGTATTCAGTTATACTATTTCTATAATGTTTTATATTTGATATTATTTTTATAAATAATCTTGTAATCTTTAGTTAAGATAGAAGATTATAATATAGAAAGAAAGTCTTTCTTTATTAACTAAGCAAGTAATTAGAAAATTTATTTCTCGATTCTATGATTAGTATATTTTAATTTATCTTATATTTCTCTTTAACTAGTATCTTATCTAGTTTTATTAGTTATCTCTATAGTTATAGCTTTTTAGTCTTTATTTTTTTTAATACAGTTTCTGCTTTAAAATAGTTATGTTATTAATTTTATTATTTTTTAGATAGTTAATTAATTTGGTTACTCTTATAAAATATTTATTATACTGTGAGTTTAATTTTTCAGAATATAAAGACTTGATAATTAGATTACTTAATAAGTCAAATAAGTTTTTTCTTAAGATTATATCTCAAGTATGAGATATTATTTTTAATTTCAGGTCTTTTTTATAGAGAGAATAATTAAAACTATTAGAAGTATATAAGAAGATATAAAATAATATAAGATTAATTTTAAAGATTAGACTAAGTCTTATATTATAAGTTTATAAGATATAAATAATATATATATATATATAGATATTAAACTGATTACTGGTTTTCTGGAGTTTCTAGTAGTTAGTATAATAGATATTTTACTAGATTATCTGATTATATAAGTTGCTTAATTAGATGGCTTAGTTTATTATAAGTTCTGTGACCCTGGCGTACTGGAAAGGCGCGTCGTCTGTTACAAGATTGCCTGAGGCGTCTAACAATACTATTACTTCTTTGATATCATGAAAATAAAGCTAGTATTTATATTAATTAAGATTTTTTACGAAAAAAATCATTTTTATTAAAGCAGCTAGCTTCTAGTAGTATTTAAAGAATCTTAAAATAAAGATTTCTATTATTTTATTCAATATAATTAAAAAAAGTTATTACAGAGAAACTGGAGATTCTATATATAATTAAAAAAGAAAAGATTAAGAAAATCCTACTCCAGCAATATTATGACTTAATAAATATTTTTTTAAAAAAAACTTAGATACTTTATCTTTTTTTTAATACTATAATTATAAGATTTAACTAAAAGAGATAAATAACTCTGTTAAATATTATTTTTTTGGAAGATAAGAATAAAAAAGCCACAGGTGACTTATAATTATATTATTAAAAGTTTAATTAAAAAATTTATTATCTCAAGCTTTATATTTTTTTATATCTCTGATTTTAATGGCTTGTAAGCTTAAAGAAGATCTGTATCTTTATTAAACTTAATATTAAACAGGATTTTTATTAAATCAAGATAAATCTTATTTTTAAAAATCTTATTATATTTTAAGTATAATATAGCTTGTTTAAATATTATACTCTTTCTTTTTGACTTATAAACGGATCTGCTGCTTTTCAGTAACTTATTAATAAAATCTTAATAAAATATTTAGATAAGTTTATTATTATCTACATTAATAATATATTAATCTATAGTAATAATACAGATGAATATGAGTTATATATATAATTAATATTTAAAAAGTTATAGATAGTAGGATTACAGGCTGCTATCTATAAATATAAGTTTTATATTATCAAAATTAAATATTTTAAATTTATAATAATTATAGATAATATTTATATAAACCCTGTAAAAATCACTATAATTATTAAATAAATAATCTTAATAATTATTAGAAAAATCTAATTCTTTTTAAACTTCTATAATTTTTATCAATAATTTATTAAAGTTTATAATAGAATAATACAGTCTCTGATATAACTTATCTAGAAGAATATTATCATTAACTAGAGTCTTATTTATATTAAAACTTTTCAAATCTTTAAGAATATCTTAATCTTAATATTTATTTTAGCT